AAAAGACCGATCATTTTAATCATCAAATCATCCCTTCAATAAATCTGTCACTAATAGGATTTCAAAAATAATGGGATTTAAAATATTCATGCACTACGGAAGTAATCAAAAAAAGAGCAAAATCGCATCTACTCAACTGTAAGATTGTGACGACAGAATGCAAACAAAATAAAAATAATAAAAATTAATAATGACTTTGAAAACTTTACCAGAGTTTTTAAAATATGATAATTTTTGCACAATTGGATCGGACAAAAAATGAAGAATTGAAATAAATAAATAAGGCTGTCTGAAAGCTAAATGTAAACAAAATGCACAACAAACTCAAATACAAGATTTTTCTTGACAGAATTCTGCCAAATCTTAAAAAAAAAGTTCTTCGCAAAGGATAATATTATAGAATTAAAGAATAAGAAAATTTATTAGATTAACTAGGTCAATTTATTGGACAAATATCTATTAGTAAAAGTAAAAGCTTGTTGTTCAAATAATTTTTAGTATGTGCATTGAGCTATATGAAAGAAAGCAAAAGAGACGAGGTAAACTAAATTTGCTGCAGAATTTTTGAAAAAAATTTTGGTTGCGGTGAGCAGTAGAAAAATGAATCCATTGAGAAGCCAAGAGAAGATTTCGATTGCAACTGCCCTTTGAAAAGAAACATAGGCCAGTATCGAACTAGTCCGAGACTGGAAGGGAACAAAAGAGTTGGCATAAGAGCATTAGAACAAACGTTTTTATATGCAGATGAGTCTCCTTTCTTAATCGGAAATGCAACAGAGTGGTAGTAGTGATGAGGGGAAGTGATATCAGTAATATCAGATATTTCATGCCTGAGATGACTGATTGATGTAGATTTATCAATAATCACTCACTGATAAAAGAAGAGATTCATAGAGTGACAATAGTTATCATTACTATGTAATGACAAAATGTGAGACAAAATTGGCATTGCTGTCATAAATGTTGCACGAATTCTAACGTAAGCCTTTCCAACCGTATCATCAAAATGGATTAAACATTACTAAAAGCCGTTATTTCTTTCAGTGTGAATTGAAATGGGTAAAATCTAAGATGATAGTTCAATTACTTGGGTTTATTGCAAGAATTAAAATCAGAATATTAGTGAAAATTAAAAGAGAAGAGTGGAAATGAATTACTGGAGATGGATTCCACTCTTTTCAGACGATTTCTGAATGAAGAACATCAGGAAACAATTCAAAGTAATGGAAACTAATTATGGGGAAATAGCTTTCATAAACGGAAGCATCAGTTACGAATAATACATAATTTCTTTTTCCACTCATCGCTTCTTTTGATTATTATAAACAATTTGTAATATGTTTGCAGTGATACACTAAATTTTAATGAACTTTTCTGCTCAGCCGAATAAAAGCGGTTTTATTGTTTCACCAAGCCTTTCTCATCTTATCTAAAATTATTCATTGAAAATATGGCTTAATGGAAAATGATTATATGAGATAGAGTGATTCATTGGCGAAATCAAGACTTTACTTTAAAAATTTGACAATTTAATTTTATATTTAAGAAATGAGAAATGCTTTATAGAAATTATTTACGTTAAAACAAAAACAAACAAAGTTAGAATTATTTTCCATTACATCAGTAAGATGACTGCTATCATCAAAAATAGCTAAGCAAAGGCAATTTAGCTAATAAAACTGAAAAGAAAAAATCCATTCATTTCACTAACCAAAATCAATAACTAACGTATGTTGAAATGAAATCCGTGCTTTCATTTGCAGCTACTTTTTGTTTCTTGTCGAATATCACCAGTTTTGAAAGACTTGATAAATTTATCAAAAAAGAAAAAATATTTTCTTTTTAAAGGATTCAGTCTACAAATTCTTGCACCATTTCCTTATTTGGCGCTTTTTTTTTGAACAAATATAAGAATAAAAATTTTTAAAATCCAATTGTTAAGACAAATTGTGTTATAGCTAAATACTATAACCATAAATGGCATAACGACTTATTGTTTTTAATAGAAGGAATGCAAGGTTCAGCAAAAATTACTTTAAATGTAACGAATGAAATAGTGAATTTTGATAGCAATGGAGAAAAGTTCTTATGGTACGAGTATGAATGAGTGTATTTTCAATATAAAAACTGGGAAAATGATTTATTATATTTTAGAAGTTCATCAGTAAGTTTAGCTTTAAACATAATTATTACTGAATATTCAAATATTAAGCAATTATTTGCTAAAATTCATTTAAACTCTACAAGCTACACTTTATATTTGGATACAAAGTTTTTCACCTTGCTGAGAAATTTTCTCACTGATATCCATTACTATTTGATGAACCATTTCAAATGCGAAGTCCTTTTCGATGCTTAGTAAAGCTACAACTTATTCAGGAATCATTCTTTGAACTTAAGCGGCCTTTGTAATATTGAACAAAAAAGTAAAGGAAGAAAGGGAAATAAAATAAAGCACAGTGATGGCACGAAAGTAAATTTATAGATAAGTCTTAGATGATGTGAATATTCTGAAAGCTATTATACACAATTAGGACTCATATGTTATTAGATATTTTATTAGAATAAGTCAGCAGAAATTTATATAACTGTAAATTGAGCTTACAAAAAATTGTTTATTGAAAAGCTGTGGTGGACTGCAAGGTCCCTTATGTCATTGTCGGACGATGCTTCTTTTTTGCAGCTTCACTTTTTTCTACAATTTAAACAAATGAGTTGCCTGTAAGCAATTTACCTCCTCTGCCATTCATTTTGACTTTTTTTATGAATTTGTAATAAGAGAAAGTCAATAAATTACTGTAATAATTTTTGAGCAAACGTTAGCTTTGTTTATTCTCACTAAAATAGACAAATAATTTTAAAATTGTTCATTTCACTGAAAACTTTATCATTAATAATTTTTCATTTTTCTTTGGCATTTCTGTTGATCGGTGTAACAAATTAAATTTTAAGCTCAGTGATCAGATTAAACTTGATTGGCACATCCAATTTTAATTTTTTTTTACACATTACATATTAAAGTGAAATTGTTCAATTTGATTCAATGTATTTTTCCTGAATTCATTAGCTTCAATGTTTTAAATGAATTTCTAAAATTTCTTCTGATTAATGCTATTCATTGAAATTAACGTGAAGCAAAAAAATTATTTCGGTTTGTAAAATCAGAGCCAATTTCATTTCCATTAGCCTTAATTACAAATGACAACACTTTACTTAAACTAGATTTTCATCTTTCTCCTTAATCTAAGCTTCCATCTTATTCTATTTTAAAATAAAAATTTTTTAAAGACGAGAAATGGTTTGGTTGAGTGATTTCACTATGCAATATAATGTATTACTTTACCATAAGAATGTCTTCAATAAAAAGTTCTATACTCTAGTCCTCATTGAGAAATACTCGAAACTACTTCTATCAAAGGCTAGGTAAAGCATATTAGCTAAGGTATCTTGAGAAAGTATTTAACAGTAAGCAGTGAAGACAGCTTAGCTTACTCAGTGCTTTCATACATTCTTCAATGTCCTCGTAAGAAGCCTTAAATTGCTGCATAGCACCATCTTCCATCAGTTATTTCATATATTATCCCTTTCATACAGAACGATTACTTTAAATCTTCACTTGCAGCTTTTTTCTTTCTCCAAAAATTAAACCAATTGATGCTTTTTTTTCATCAGCTATCAGTCACATTTCTATTCTATTCTCTTTCTCTTTCCTTTTTTGCAAATAAATAAAAGTAATAAAAAGGAAGCAGTTGTAATTACGACAAATTTTTTGAATTTATACATTTATTACAAAAGTCTTTACATCTGACTATTTTTTATGGGTCGAACTGACTGATGTACTTCTAATCACAGGAAAATTTCAGGATGACTTTTTTTAAAGTAAATTTCTGAAAGATCACTTCAACAGAAGCATATTCTAAATTTAACAAGAAGATGTGCACTTGATAGATGCATCATATTTATTCACACTTAATTTGTTTTTTTCTTCTCGTATGCTCTGCTTCGTTAAAATAGATGAATCAAACTATTTCATGCATATTTCTGTAGTTACTTGAAAATTCATTTCCCTGATGTAGATGGATTTTAATGTCGAAATTGGTATATAAATTTCAAGCAAGGATTTTTTCCTGCATTGAACTATTGTAAAAAATAATGCGGGACAATTTAAATATAATCCAAGAATTGTTGCCCTATTCGCTATCATTTATCTGAAATGCTTCCAATCTTCAGTCAAACGGCCTGTTTTTGGTGCTTATTTATGATCTCTTTCAAATCATTACATATGGAAATTTTAATGTAAATTAATATATTTACTAAGATTAATTAGATCATCAGACTTTTTTTATTAAAAACGTGAAAGGATGAAGAAGCATGAAATAAATATGAAAAAAATGTATATTGAATTTTGATATTGCGACTTCAAATAATTAAGTCATGAAATTGTTACTGCCTGAAATTGAAATAATACAAAGATGAGAACATGGATCGAATTTACGAAAAGATTTTATCATTTTAATTCTCTCACAATAACTATAAAGAAATAGTCCCAAAAATGTAAAAAAAGGCATACATGCATTTGAAAAGAAAATAAGAGATGCACTGATCGTTGAGCAATTTGAATCTAATCGGGAATCAGTCTTCCGGAAGTATATACGGTACTAACAGCACAGTCATTAATTTAATTCCCTCACAGTTCGGTTGCTGGTAGAAATTTGCTTTTATGTTATTCAGGGATACATAAACAAAACATAACAAAATTGTGAAAGAAGTTAAAGAGAATTGGCTAAGTGAGAATGACAAATACATTTTATCATTTTAATTCTCTCACAGTAAATGATTTCCTCTGATTTTTACAAACGAATATTTGCTTATTATCACTTAATTTTATTCATTTTTTGCAAATACTTTAAATATTCAATGGAAATGTTAATGCACTTTTTTATTTTCTAAATTGTAAGATTGAAAAGCGGCTGCCACGGTTAAAAAGCAGCCACCTACAAATGGAATCATCACCTGGCGACAATACATCAATTGATTTAGTGCCAACAGCTGGGCCAAGTTTGACTTGTATGCAGAATATTGTTCTCCCAAAGTTTGTTGTCTTTTCGAGATATAACATGCTACTTGCTTGGATTGCCACCTGAAGTTTGCTTTGTAATCTGGATGACAGCATGTAATAACTGAAAAAAAAAAAAAAAACAAGAAAACAGCTATTTGATATCATATTACTATTGACACACTTGCATACATTGGTTTAGAAGCGATTCATTGCAGAAAATTTACTAAGGTAGGACGTCTCACACCAACAATACAATTAGATGTTGACGATACTTTGGTAAAATTTGGTGAGAAAATACGCGATCGATGGCTTATCAAAGTAATAAATAATTGGTTCTTGAAAAAAAGTTCAAGCTTACATTTCTGTTTTTAATATTTATTCAACTCTGAAATGCTCATCTTCATATGCAGAATTTTTTCTAAGTTCAGTAAAATCTCGATTTATATCGTGAGTCGAAAAAAATCTGAATAAAAGAAATAAATGATATTATTTTTTCTAGGGATTAATTGGTAGTGGAGGATATGGAGAAATATATTATGCAACAGATTTGAAAATGAGTGGGGAATCAGTAGCTGTTAAAGTAGAACCTGTGATAAGGAAGGGAAAAGTATCTAGACGAATGATCCTAGAGCAGAAAGTAATCGGATTTTGCCACTTGTCGAACTTGAACACTGTATTTAGCAATTGCTTCTCAGATAGAAAATTGGTGCACTGCAATCGTAATTGCTTACTACGTCCTACATTCTTTCAAAATGAAATTTTGAAATTTAAGTTAGCTGGTTATCAGGTAATGTTACGTCTGCAAGGTCAACCTCATGCACCTCTGATGTGGGGTTCCGGAACGGAACGTGGCCTAAATTATATTGTAATGCAATTACTGTCAACGAATGTCGCCGATCTAAGAAAGCAGTGCCCCTTACAACGATTATCAAAAGCTACCTCAGGACGAATAATGCAACAGGTAATATCGAAAATGTGTCACTTTTAAGACAGCATTGGTATTTTTGATCTTCCACTTTCATTTCTTTTTCATTTCTCTTCTTTTTTTCTTCATTATCAATCTTTTTCGACCAAATACTTCGTTCAGTGAAATTCTGAATCAAAATCTGAGCAGAAAATTCTATAATCTCTGTCCGAAAGATCAGATGAGCTTGTGAAGTTTCAAAATGTCAGTTGTTAAATAAAGAAATATGTCACAAATTAAGATCAAATTTCAGTACTTATTATCACAAATTAATTTGCTTTGATTTTGTTTCAAATTCCATTAAAAGTAGCTACGACAAAATTGAGTTTACTGTGTTCTCTCATTGCAGGCAATAGCTGCCCTTCGTGACATCCATAAAATGGGATATATTCATAGAGATGTAAAACCTGCCAACATGTGTTTTGGTCTGACCAAAAAAGTAGGTCAATTGATAATAAAATCCGGTTCTTTTGTATTCATCTGAATGCTTTGCAAATGGAAATTGAAGATTGAAAGCATTAGCTCTTATAATTTACAAAATTCCATAATGCTATATATTACCTGCATGGTTTAAATTATTTGAAGATTTTATTTTTCATCAATTTTTTGGAAACTGTAATTTCAGTTTTTATTGGTAAATAACTCGAACTGAACAAATACCAAAATAGTATTAATATTAACACACACTTAAGAAATATGAAATATGTCTATCAGAGCACCAGGCGCTTGATCATCGTGGATTATGGTTTGGCGAGAAAATTTCGGCAATCGGATGGAAAACCAATAGAGAGAAGAAAACGAGCTGGTTTCCGTGGAACATTGCGTTACGTGTCAATGCGTGTACATGATCGGGAAGAGCAAGGACCATCAGACGATTTAATCGCACTTTTTTTCACGCTTATAGAAATACTTAAAGGAGAATTACCCTGGAAGGATGAAAAAAATGATGAAAAAATGAAAAGTGCTAAGATGGAGTTGGTAATTTCATGTTTCTCATTCATCGATGTTAATGTTAAGTATCGATAAATCCAAGCAGTTTTGTCTTGAAACACATCGAAATTATTCGATGAGTTTTGAAGGTTAGAAAACTATTTCTATTTCAGGTGAAAAATGATTTTGTCAAAATATCCGAAAACTTTGGTTCCAGCTTGGGTGAATACGGTCGAGCAGTAATGACATTAGCTGTAGATGCCGAACCTAATTATACATTTTTAATTTCAGTCATGAAGGTTGCAGCGCTTGAAATTTTGAAATCCTGGGACTGAGCGATTTACTTTCTTGAAAATGAAGGACTTGCTTTTGAAATAAATGCCTCAACCATTTACTGCACGACTTCCAAACTTAAATTAAACAAAGCAATAAAAATACTAAAAATATGAAAGCGATAGTCCCATCTGTCATCTATTCCAAAATTAGGTTATCATGAAACCCAGAGAAAAATGAATTTTGGTACTAACTTCAACATTTCAGCCATAATTTTATAGAATTTGGCTGGTAATCGACCTTTAAACGATCCATATGATTGGGAAAATGATTATCTGGAAGTGCTAAAGGAATATAAATAATCACTTCGCTTTATATATATATTATTTTAAATATATTGTTAAGTTTATGCATTGAGCAATACATCGTTGATTTGTGTATTAGGTTTATTTCACATTATTTATGAGAACTTCATTAAGTTATAATGAAACTTTACTCAATTCACAAAGCAAATGCGAATTTGTATGTAAAACAGTAGTGTCAAACTAGTCTCTAACTCATTCAGAAACTTGTTAAGAAAATGATGATTAAGTGTAATCTCGTTTCTTTTGCATTTGCATAATTCTCTTTAGTTTATTAATGATGCAAGAATTTAGATCACAAGTTCACACCAAGTATACAATGTAAGAAACAGCTTTCGTCCAATAATAAAACGTGGTTATTGCTAAATTAAAATCATTCTTGATTGTTATATTTGTTGCTAACCAAAATGCTACATTTGTCAAAAGTCTTTTGAAATGTCGGTGGAAAACGTTATAAGCTGCAGATAAAGAAAGGTTTGAAGCTAAACTATGAAGGAATGAAATCTTGCATAAAAAATTTCCCTCAAAAGTTGGAAAATTCACTGAAATTTAGTACCTATTATGCAACATTATGAAATACTTTGTTGAAATCGTTGAAAAATCCCCAGTTGATATTGTATTTATTGTTGATAGCAATTGGACCGAACATACCTTCATTACCGATACTAAGACCTACGAAACAGATAATATATAAGGAGAGGTAGAAATCTTCATAATTTCAATAATCTAAAAGCATAAAAAGATTAATATAGCTTCTAATTGATATCATTCTTTGATCATCTGATTTCAGCTATATTTCTGCATGTATTATGTATTATTATGATATTTTATATAATATATTAAGCATTATCATTATTATTAAATGGCTTTGAAAGGAAACCTCTCAACGGAGCCAATGAAATACCATCCTTTCGGCCAATGGGCATGCCAAGTACGTTCACCGTCCGATCATGATCAACTTCGACTTCCTCACGATGTTCTTGACTATGACCAAACGATTCTAACAATGTCAATATTGATGGCACTGCTATTTGCGACTAAAATTATTTTAAATAAGAAAATTCTCTTAAGAATACGTAGTTTCCTTTCCTGCTTATGAATATTACTTAAGATGCGAAAATTAAAGGTCATATATATATAACAAATCTTGAACAGATATCCACTCAGTACTAATATGAAAAAAAAAAATATATATATATATATATAAATCATTTCCAACTGAATAAAAGATACATAGCTAGAATATATATATAAGAAGGATGAATTTATCTTATGCAGTGCAAAAATAAATAGAAAAATTGAAAAAGTTGATGTTGATTAAATGCATTAATGAATGAACACAAAATTACAAGAATTCATCAAGATAATGGAGTGATTTTAGGTGATTGGATAATGAACAGGAAAAATTGTTTTTTATAATGAATGATTTTCGTTACATTTTTCAAAATTAATGGGTTATGAAATGGATCAGTAAAGAAGTAAGTTTTGTATGTGCATTTGCGGTATTTGAGGATTTAAATTTGGAAAGCTTCAAGACATAATGGTCAAGTATCATCAGCAGTAACAAGCTTGTGGATTTAGAGTGATTGAGTTATCGAGCTAAATTGTTTTTAGATCAGTAAGTCTTAGCAGAAGCTTCAGAAATGATGTATTAAATAGATTGGTTTTTTGATCTTTTGGAAAGGTAATTTGCAACCTTTGCTTGTTGGATAAGAGTTCCATTTTTGGTTGAAGAATTGATAAGGATTATGCTCTGGGGTGTTGTAGGTTTTGAAAAAAGTGCAGGGCTTGTTAGCACAAAATTTTTTGGTGAAACAGTCGCACTGATGGTTGCAATGAGACCGAGCGGCTGCAAATCCTGAAGAAATGCATATTTGGGAATTCACATTTGGTATAAATGAATCTAAAATATAAATGGACAAATGATTAATGTCGACTGCATTGATAGTAAATTTTCAGAAAAAAGCTGTGTTGATTACTGATAAAAGTCTGGACAAAATAAATGAAATTTTTTATTCCAATTTAAATTCTTCACTTGAAAAACAATGAAAACAAAAAAAAAAAAAAAAAAAATAATAAGGAAAACGAAAACATATCTTGGTAAGTCGATCAAACTCATTAAGCGATTTGACAAATGGATCGAATAGACGTTGTTTTGGCTCAGTATATGCTTTTACCTTCTTCGCTGATCTCAGAGAATCAAATATTGATCGCAATGGACTTATTACTGAATTCCCCCGGGATTTCTTCTCCGCCTGAAATGAATTTTCCAACTTCAGTAACTTGATAGTGATAATGCCTCACAAGATTTTGTTGTACATAAATATTATCTGTCCAAATAATTTTCATTACTGTAAACAAAAGACTTAGTTATTTCTGCAAGCTATAAAATAAACATAAGTGTAAAGTGCAAACGTAGAAAGTGTTGGGTAAGCATTTACAGCATTTACATTTATTTATGTGGTATATGTGGTCGATGTTCTGAAATAACAGTTATAAAAAATCATACTTCATTCGCAAATTCGAATGCTTCCGCGTTCTGTTTCGTTGTATCACTATCTCTATCCCAAGACTTTAGCCGTGGGTAAATAATTGCTTCGGTGTCTCTTTGACTTTCAGCATGTGTTTCTGAAATTATTCTTCAGCATTAATTTACTTCAAATTAAAAGAACGCTCAATATCAATAGATATCTAATTATGGAGAAAGAAAACCTTCCGGGAGTGACAGTTGTCTATTTTTAATACGAAATAAAGCGTTGCACCACAGTAAATGATGAAAGACAAATATTGCTTGAGGTTTCATCAAGTATTCTACAAGCAAGTATTTCTGATGACAACGGAAGAAAGATAGTTGTCGAAGGTAACAACTCTCAGTTTTTTGTGGCTAATTGATTAATTTTTGTGACCCTCTACAATTAATTTATTTCCCAAAGTTACCAAAATAGTTTATTCTGGGAGCACAAGAATAACATCACCAAAATCAACAAAACTATCTGTTACTAGTAGTTTCAACTGACTGACTGAACTACCTGACACTTAATGCGTTAGAAACTTTAGCAATAATGATTACGTTAGATCACTTCGCTTGATCAAGCTAAAACACGAATGAACAACCACAAAACACCCCCATTTCCTGATATCATCATCTCTTTCATGCATCGATGCAGAAAAACCACGCAGTCCTAAGAATATGGTAATGCACCCATGAGAATTTATATAAAACAGAAAACAAACCGAAAGAAAGTTGCTGTGCACTTTTCGATTTAAAGATAACTGATAGTAGCAGCAATAGCGGCCGCCATAGTGAAGAGGTAACGGATGACATAATGAATTTGTTGTAAAATTATAGGGACCAATATGTCATTTGGGTTAACCCATTTACAGTTATCCCACTTCCATGGTAAATGTGTCGCGAAAACCAGCCTCCTCAAACATTTATTCACTTCACGGCACTGAATATGAAAACTTAACAAAAAGAACTTCACAATATTTAATATGCTTATTTACTACAAAAAAACGTTATTAAATATTTGGAAAAAATAAAAAGAATCAAGTCTGTCACATTCCGTCAAAACCCTTGTTATTTTCTTCAATAAATTACATTACATATTCCGTAAATTCATTTCCTATGTAACAGTAATTAATGTGATATTTCAACAAAAAAAAAAAAAATTGCGTCCTTCAACAAAACTGAACCTAAGATGTTTCTCAATTATATGAGGAAAATTAATCTTTTCTGTCATATAAAACAAAGAAGAAACACCAACATTGCGCACGCTCATTCACTCAGTAATCAAAAAAATGCTCAAAAAAGTACTGAATCTAGCAAATTCGAGAAATACGAAAAAAAAAATGCAAAAAAATTTCTCAAGCATTGATAACTTTTCCTGGAAATCCCATTTTCCATCGGTAATTTCAAATTCAGCTAAGAAACGATGACACAACTGTCAATAAGAAGAAAAATATGAACATAACGACGTGAACAAATTTATGAAACCATAAGGCGTGGTGCAATTGACATAGACATTAATTCCTGGAATAGCAGCTTGCAAGCATATGGAATACGAAATGCCGACACTTGTGTTTTGTTTCGGCAAGCCTGGAAATGTTTCACTTATATTTCTCAACCCATGAGTTATTTTTGCAAATGAAATTCAGTGTCCCATACCGAAAAAAATTTACAAAAAAATTCACAAAACATGTCGAAAATTGTTGATTTCTAATACAATATTTAAAAAATATTAAAAATTTATTCAAAGTAACAAGAATGAACACCAACCAATAATTAATATTTATAACTTTTTGTAAAGCATAAACAAAAAGGAGTATTCCAGTTTCACTTTTTTAAATGATGTACTCATTGATTAGCAGCCTACATATTTTGGTATACAAAAGATATTCACAATGAGTGACTAGAAATCATAAAATTGTGGATGGCTATTTCAAATCATCTAAAACCAGTTTCCTCACTTACCTTGCACTCGAATGAGTTTGTTCGCAAATTAGCCACCACGATTAAGCCGCAATTGTTGCAAATATATACATGGTAAGGATCAGATACTTCGAAAAGACGTTCTCGCAAAAACTGTGCTGCTCCGTGTGAAATTTGACAATCTCGTTCCATTTCGCCGAAACGAAGACCGCCATCTCTTGAATTATTTCATTTCTCAGATTACCTTTTGCTATCCCAAATCTAAGAATCTCAAGCATAAATTATAGAAGCAAACAAAAATATGAAAATACCTAGCTCTGCCCTCCATGGGTTGCCGGTTCATCATTTGTACAGGTCCACGAGCTCTCGAATGAATTTTGTCATCCACCATATGTTTCAATCGCTGATAATAAGTTGGACCCAAGAAAACCTACAAGATTTACGAAAAATTCTTCTTTTTAAAATCAAAAGGAAAACTCGAAGTACTCAGCAATGAAGGAAATTAGACTATATACATTTCTGAAACTTGAAGCATGCAAACAAGTTTTCTTCTAATGCTGAGATAGCACAGGGCTTCTATTAAGCTTTAAAACAGCAAGATCAAAAATTAATTTTTACTTACTTGAATTGTGAGTTTTCGACCAGTATGTCCATTATACATGATTTCATTTCCACGGAGGTGATAACCATATTCTTGCAATAAATTACTGATTTTCTGAACATTAACAGTGTCGTTGAAAGGTGTTGCATCACCAATCTCACCTTTGTTCGCGGATAACTGAAAATTATTTTGAGTAGTCAAATGTATAGTGATTATGTTGAAATTGCGACGATAACGATAATTGTACATGATAAGGATCAGATACTTCACAGCAAAAAATCTCAAAAGAATATGAATTCTCATGTTTTTTTAGATAATGGAGATAAAAGAACAAAAAATAGAATCTGTATCCTTAAAAAATCTCATTATGAAAAAAAAAAAAATGTTTACACACCTTCCCTTGCAAACATTCGATCAAGTGTCCAATTGTCATACGAGAAGGCACTGCATGAGGATTTATAATGATATCTGGAGTTATACCCTCATTTGTAAAAGGCATATCTTCCTGAAGATTCCCTGCATTTAAGTTAAGCAAAAAAAAAAAACCACCAAACCGAAGCAGTAAATTTATCAAAAATTCTGCAGTGCAACTTTAACGTTCATGATCATCCTGACAAATACGACTAAAGAAGCTATGCTATATAAACAAAAAAAAAAACACTAACCTGTCTGTACATCATACCCATCGTACCTTTTTGACCATGTCTTGATGCAAACTTATCACCAATTTGTGGAAGACGTACTGAACGCACACGAATTTTAACGAACTTGTTACCATCCGTGTTTAGAGTCAACATAACCTAATTCAACAAAGATAGATTTTCAAACACAGGAAACAAACTCTATATAAGCAGAAACATGCTGCGTATATAATTCTTAATTTAAAAAGAAAAAATTTCAAAAAGTACTTGGTCAACAATGCCTGTTTCACTACTTCGTAAGAATGTACTAGCGTCTTTCTTCGTATACCGCTTGATTGCTGCATCCAAATCATCCTCCTAAACAACACTGATGTTGGACATTACTGAGACAAAAAGTTTCTTAGAAACTACTAATAACTTATATGTTCATTTAAAAACTATAAAAAATACGAAAACAGACGGTGTCTGGTAGTGATATGGTCTTTCCAATAATGACGTCATCGCCCGAAACACGCATCCCAGGTGATATTATACCATCTTCATCCAGCTTATCGTAAAGTGAATGTCGCATACCCGAACATTTATCCCTGAATATTGCATTAATTATTTGGAAGGTTGAGATAAACTGTTCAAAAATCACAAAAGAAATACCTTGTGGGCTTCTCAATCAATTCTTCATTTGCGTTATCTAGATTTGCTTCTTGGTCACGATATGAACGATAAAAGACCTTAAAAATTTTAATTATTATAGATGGCATTATTCCTTACTGCTAGCTAAAGTTCATTAGAAAGGTTTACGCCAAAAAAGATGCTAACCGATCTAAAGAGACCTCTGTCAATACCAGACTGATTCATGATAATGGAATCTTCTTGATTGTAACCAGTATAAGACAAAATAGCAACGATAGCATTAATTCCTGCAGGTAGTTCATTGAATCTAAAAATGCATTTTTTAAAGCGCTTCTCAGATAGCACTTTGTATTCTTTGAAAAAACTCTCTCCAAGAATTTTGACAATTTATTATTTAGCACCTGAGATATTCCATAGATCTAGTTGTGACCAAAGGCTTCTGTGGATAATAGAGTACATGAGCAAGCGTGTCCATTCTAACATGAAAATTGGTAGTGTAGACACCCATAGCTTGTTTGCCCATAGCGCTCTAAAAAAAGACTTCATAGGAATATATATAACTTCGAGAAACTTACACATTTATAGAAACGTACTTGATATGTGTTTCGTGGGCTTTGGTTATGGTCCGGAAAAGGTATAATTGAAGCACAAACACCTAAAATCATTGCCGGATGAATTTCACAATGTGTATAAGTATCGCAGTATCCTCCAGCTTTCAAATCCTCTGGCATCATTGCAAGCATCACTGTTTCTGTAAAACAATGAACTAAAATAATTGAAAAATGACTAAAACTACACCGAATATAACAATACTTGGGTTTAAAATAGGTCAGGCTAGTCTGACCTTCTTGTAAAAAACGAAAAAATTTTAGCTGCATACTTTATCCATTTACTAAAATACGATATTTACATCTAGAAAAAGATATTCAAAATGCTCAAACCTTCCTCCATAGCATCAATAAGCTCTACTACGCCACCTGCAACAAGTTCCGACCAAGTATAGCTGTTATCCTTCAGTTGATCAATATGCTTCCTCTTCAGAGCTAATTTTTGGTTCTCAACAATCAACAGTGGTCTACAGACACGTCCAGCATCCGTATAAATACGAATTTCCCTATCTCTGATATCTCGCACCATAGATACCTACAGTTTTTTTCAAATTCCAAAGGAAAAAATCAAGAAAAAGACGGAAATCAGTAACTTTTCTCTTCAAATACAATTATAATACGTACTTCCGAAACGATAATGTCCATTTCTCTTCGTAGCTTTTTCAACGTTGTCATCAGCTGTTCGGGATCTCTATGGATACCAACCCAAGCACCGTTAACAAAAATTTTTGTTGCATCAGCAATCGCCGTTGGTGCTACTTCTGTAATGTGTTTATCCTTAATAACATATTTAAAATAAACAACAATAAAGAGACCAAAACAAAAACCTGACCCAAATTTTTATTAGGACTATTTCATCCTTTCAAGCAATAAATTCACTGGACCTTCAAGGTTTTCCATAGACCACTCCTCCAAAAATTCAAGAATTGGCTCCGGTAAACTACCAACAGAAATGTATGCCATAAGCGCTAGATTCTTTACCAAGCCAACAGCTTGGCCTTCAGGAGTTTCAGCTGGGCAGACCATACCCCACTGTGTATTATGTAGCTGACGTGGCTTTGCTAGTTTTCCTTCTCGCCCAATTGGTGAATTGCAACGTCGTAAATGCGACAACGTTGCAGTGTATGTCAAACGATTTAGTACCTAATACGATTTCATAATACACGATGTTAAAATAAAGGCTAGAAATTGAAAATTCATTGAATTCAAGTACCTAATTTTTAGAAAATTTAATTGCATAATAAGGAATGGATAAAACAAAAAAAACTAAAAATAAATAAAACTATACCTGGCTAACACCAGCTCTTGATTGATGTGCTTTTTTCTGATCTCCCCAGTTACCTGTTGCTAAAGAATACGCAAGGCCTCTAGTAATAAGTGGCGTTTTAACGCATAAATCTAACATGAAATCACCATTCTTATTAATGTACTTTTGTGCCGTTAAGCGTACCTTAAAAAATACAAAAGTAAAATTTCAATAAATGATGAAAAGTATCTGAAACTTTTTTTTTTTTTTTTTTTTTTTTGCAAATACCCACGAAAGAAAGAAAGTTTTACTAGGAAGCAAATTAATAATCATTTTAAAAGACAACCAATAAAGCATTAGTTTCGGCTGACTCAAAAGTTTTTGAAAATTCACTTCTTTTAGAAGATTCCTGAAAAGTGCTCGGAATAGAAATGCTAGCAAAGGTCCAGCAAGATCCAATCGCTTGTTTCCCATATGATCACGATCATCCAATTCACGACGTCCAAGAGCTGCCAATAGTAGTCTGTGGACCATGTAACCCAAAAAATACTGAAAGTAATGCATCCATTTTATTTTGTTCCTTTATTTATTGTCATACAAAAAAAGAAGAAAAAAAATTTCCTTCAAAGACTGAAATTGTTATCAAGACTAAATTCTGGAAAATTTGTACGGAACCATAATTTTATTCGCAAAAAATTTATTGAACAGTAAGATGATTTATAAAAAATATATGTAGATATGAAGAGTTATTACTGGATTTATCACTATAATTTTATTCACAGCAGCATTAACTTTGATGACAGTCCTATACTATCCTAACCATTCGAGTATTTAAAAATTATATAGAAAATATTAAAATGCATTGAAAATACCAATGCTGAATACCGTTCAATTAAAAAACTGATTATGACATACCGCTTTCTTCGTTTCGCAAAAATCTGAGATGCCAACATGCGGAAGCATTTCTTTCTGTAATATTTCTCTAGCATATTTAATACGTTGCTCCTTTGTTACGCCTGGCTTGGCACCACGTGCACCAATGAAGTTTAGTGCAACATTTTGTTCCTGTAAATTTAATACTACAACAAATCAGTTTAAATTCAGAATGTTGTTGAATAGTGTCAAAGACACCAGAAAAAGACATGCAACAACTAATCCCCTAGAGTGCATTAACTTTTTTTCTTATTTAAAAAATTTCTTTTGTAAGCAACCAAATAAGAAAGCAATGTTAAAAAAAAAAAAAAAAAAAAAAAAAAAAAAACATGATATGTAAATGGTGATGTAATGAAACACAAACATGTTTTTCGATAAACCGTCATTAAATACGTTAACCAAAGCATACCTGAATGACAAAAGCTTCATCGAGACTTGGTTTTACCATCTCCATCATTTCTGGATCTTCGAAATCGTAGATTATGTGTTCCAGTATATCATGGTCAGACACAAAACCTAGAGCGCGGAATACGATCATCACAGGAATTTCCTGGAGGGAAAATCTTGTCAGCATTATTTAATTTCCACAATTTATTTATTCGATCTATAAAACTTTCTCAAAAGGCTCAGAAAGCAAAAAAGATCAGAACCTGTTTAATATATGGTAAAATGGCAATAATTTTAGGTCCCATAGCAGATTTCTTGCTACCTCCGCCACCTCGAGGTAACATGTTAACCCAAAGAGTAGACGTTGGACGGCTGAAATATTTGAAACCATCAAGTTAATTTGTTAAACAAATTTCAACATTATTTTAATCTGTATATAAAGCACAAAAATTTACAAGCATCTAGTGTATCAACCTAAATGTCTTCAAGAGACAGAAAATCTCAATCTGTCCTATTTACTTCATCGGTCATTGGTCATAAGTTGTCACATGATATTGTCACTAACGTAACTTCAAGTATGCTTAAAAAATATTGTTTCAATACTTGCCTTGAATTTTCAAGACAGGAACGACATTCAGTCTTGTATGTATACTTCCCATCTTTCATAGAAAAAACATATACTGTATTTGTAGCCATTTTTTCCTGAGCAATCAGAACCTGGAAATTAAAACTTTTGCTGAAAGTTCCAAATGTTGGTTAAGCTGTACAAGATTAAGTTTATAGAATTCAGCTCTACTGAAACTACCTTTTCAGAGCCGTTAATGACAAAGTAACCGCCAGGATCCAAAGGACACTCGTTTAACTCGGATAAGTCACGGTCGGACATATTCGCTAACATGCAGTACGAAGATCTAAATCCATTATATATTTTTATGATTCATATTACTAAAAATAAACGTATAATATTTATCTTTTTCTTTTTAGTATTGCAAATGTTCTTCACTAATTCTTATTTTAAATGAAAAAGTGAAGAAAATCGAAAAGAAACCGTCTTGAAAATTAAACCTAAGCATGATCGGAATCTTCCCGACAAATACTTTTTCATATTTAGTTTCCTTAGGTTCTTCACCACTTCGAGTCATTGTCTTCGTTATGTCAATATAAAGAGGAGAGGAATATGTCAAATTTCGAAGACGTGCCTTAAAATCATTTAAATTAATCATTTGTCCTATAGTCACAAACAACTGATGGAAACAGCAAACATGTTTAACCAAAATCAGTGTTATGTTAACCTTTTTATTTTATAAATTAATCACATCTACAAAAACGTCGCTGCTTAGAAAATGTATATGTAAGTATTAAAAACGTATTGTATTTTAGAATGCTGAACATGCCTCATTTGGCATCATAGGAGTTGGTGCGCCGTCCTTTTCCCAATGAGTTGGCTTTGAAAGATAGATCTGATCGAATTTTAATGCGAACTTGATAGGATTCTCCACATCACCTATAAAATGTATAATTATAGTAAACCTGAATCAAAAATTTTGTGGTCGTGGACAAGCGCCATTAGAAAGTACATATTACCGGAGAAATGTTGAACTTCAGACTGAAGCTCAACAGGAGGTGAGTCTTCAACAATTCGTTGGACATTCATTTGAATAAATTCGTCGAAACTATCCAACTGTTGCCTTACAAGGCCCTTCTCATCGAAATAGGCCGAAATCACAACCCAGCATGCTTCCTGAATTGAATCCATACAAGGAAGGTTCCTCACTGTTTCAGTAAAAGAGGTAATATATGACATACCTGCCACTGTTCTGATGAAATTTCTTCATCCTCTTCGAAGAGAGCTTCTTCAGTTTCATCATCTTCTTCAAACATTCCTTCTAAAACTGTAACACTGAGGAAAGAAATACTGCAATATACATCAGGAACAAAACTGATTATGAAAAAAGCAAAACCCTATGAAGAAAGCGAGTGCTGATTAAAGTAAATATATCATTATGAATCATTGTCTTAGTCGTCCACTAAAGAACAAAACAAAGACCACTGTTCATCAGCAAGACGCTTTTCCAGAAATGCCTCTGTCAATTTTGTCTAATTTGCAAGCACCGCAGATTGTGTCTTCAAAACACTTCCTTCAAAAAACTATTTGAAGAGCGTACTAAGACTAATACTACTGCCAGTAACAATGCTTTACACTTATCACAGAGACCAACCTCTTACAAAATTAACATTTCGGTTCAACACTAATTTGGAAAACATACTGTTGAACAAATAAGAGCTGCTAACAAACATCTGCCCTATGAACTGTCAAATCACTGTCTACCCACCCTGAACCCACCCAACTCACTCTACCCCTCATATCCTCCCGCATTACTGTACTCGGCCTCTCCTTGCTTCTGTCACGCATTTCAGTCTACTTTCGATGGACAAATGGGTATTTCAAGGCCGGCAGATCTTGCTATTGTAAAAAGTGATCTGTGAGCTGTTTTTCTTCGGCTATCTGTCGGTTGTGAGGTGAAATTCCCGAGGGTGACTAGACTGTGGCGTTTCTCGACAAGCTTAGAGTAGTGACTTCTTTTACTGAGGTTTAGATTTCTGTTATTTTTTTTTATTGCTTTTGTTTAAAGCTATATGCTGTGTATTTTAACTGCTTGCTTTGTTGTTCGGGAATATCTGAAAAAAATAGACCGAAAACTTGAAAATTACCTGGAACTTACGATGGAACTAATGAACACAAGGACTGATAGTGAGGAATTTAATCTATCAATCACTGGAAATCCAGAAATATGGGAAGGGTAAGTTGGACAAGTAAGCCACTATACATCACCGAATTTACCGAAATACCTGATCCCGTGACCAGAGCAGCAAAGAATAATTTGGCGAACTTAATTTTTTAATGTCTACAGTGTTTCTGAGTTATTTTCAGCATTTTGGTGGTGGCATAACCATTTCGAACATTGATTCACTGTAACTTAAGTCAGATCCAATTCATTCATAATATATATTGGTGTATCACGTTAGAACCAAGGTAAAATAAAGGTAGTCATCAGAATTGTATGAATACTAATGTATTTTTTTTTAAATATATCTTTCTTTTAAAGGTAAAAAGTAAAAACATGAAGTTAATGGGATATTTGAGACTTTAATTGAAAGCTGCGTGCCGCGACATATATATACTACGATGTTTTTCCAACAAATAGTGCTATCTCTGGATTTTCTTTAGCCTTACATTTTGCAAGAAACTTGACTTCAAGATTTCAAAGCTCGGAAGCAACTGCCGTAGCTTATCTCTACTTCCTCACAGCACCGCCTTACGACTACGAAAGTCTCTCTCGTCCTAGTTTGCAAGAGACAGATCGGTATTTCTTGGTCGCATGTGGCTAAAGAAGCGTTTAATAAATGGAGTTTCGCTTATTTTGTACTTTTGATAATTAGAAGTAAATTGGGCCGTGTATTTGGGTCTCTCTTGCTTCCTTTATAGCAGCCGCTACCCTCAATTGGTCAAGTCATGGAAAGTTTTTTCAATTCTCCTGAAAAGTAACTTGTGAGATCTCTTCAGTTCTTGTAATTCTCCAAATGATTACATTTTAGTTGCCTTGTCATGTTTCACTTTCAGTGGTAAGAACGAATACACAGTGCTTATAGAATTAAGATATTTTTATGTATCTGTTCTATTTACATTTACCAGATTTTAACGTTTCTTGACAGTTGTTTAAAATTTTAAAATTGATTGAGCTTGGATAATCCCATTTCTAGAAGTTATGCTAGAATCTGAACAGCAACAACAGCTGACTGACGGTAGATCGTTGGGAAGTTGTCAGCAAACCAATGCTGTAACCTCACAGCAGCAACAACTAACCTTTCTAGTAACTACTCAGCAGCCGCTACCCTCAGTTGGTCATGTAATTGGACAACCACAATCAGTTCAGAACCAAAATTGCTACATCTCAACTGGACAAGTAACAAGTGCTCTGAACTGTGTATCCTCGCCTGTACCTTCAAGAACAACACCCTCCACACCGCATACTCATTCGGCAATTTCGTCCCCTTCTTCTCTTTCCGTTCAGTCGACGAATGGAGGTCAGTGTTCCGTACAGTTGAGAGGCACTGCTTCATGTCCGCCACAGTCTTTATCAAACCCTTCTGCGCTATCATCGACTCGAGTTAACGCACCTTCTCCTGTGCAAACCTCCTCTAATGCAATTGGTACAGTTCCTCACTTTCAACGACAACATTCTGTATCATTCACAACAGGTGCTAGCTCACATGCGGATCATCTCCGCTGCACAACGAGCACGAACTTCGATGGAGAATACGATAATGTCCATCGACAACAGCCTATCATATGCGATGCTTCGTCACAACAAATGTATCACAATCTACAGCTGCACCAAGCTCGTCAACAGCATATTTTGCAGCCTTCTCGCATACAGCAACATCATCAGCAACAAAAATGCTTGAAACAATCGGCAACAATAAATCAGCAAAACCAACATCAGAATTCTTTATTGCAACAGCAACAGCAAATGCTGCATTGTCAACAAACCCAAGTGACATTGCAGCAACAGCAGTTTCAAGTGTTGCAACAACCACAACAACAACAAAATTTTCCACATCAGCCGCAAATCGTTCAACAGAAACAGCAGATGCAACAGTCGCAGCATGGATATGTACAGTTCTCACTGCAGAAACAATTAAAGAAACATTTTATACAACAACGTGATGATGGTGACGAGGAAGAGGAGGATGTGCAGCAGAGACCACTGACAGCAAAAGAAGAATATAGGGAGCTGAAGCATCGCTTCAAATTTCTCGTTTATGTGAGTTTTTAAAAGAAGTACTTCTAGACGAAAGTTCTTAGGTGCTATATTATATTAATATAATGTAATATATATATATATATATATATATATATTAAAAGCATTGAATGTTTGTAAAGTTAGTTTTAAAAAGAAATCTCGATGTTGTAGCGCATCCATTGTTTCTGTAATGAGGTGCTGATCCCATTCTTTCTTTTTTTTTCTTAAAAAGCAGGACTAGTTTAGGAGAATGAATGTTATCAGGAGGAACTGCGAAACTTGCAAAGAAAATTGTTAAAGCTTTCAAGGGATAAAAATTTCTTATTGGATCGCTTGCTGCTCTATGAAAAACTAAGTGATTCGTCGGATGAATCGGATTCGTCTGTAAAAACTGTCGAAGAAAAGGTGCCACCCAAAAAGTAATCTGTTTGTAGTATTGCATTAATATGAAGTATTAAATCACCTCAAAAAAAAAGTCAGCGGCACGAGAAATTATGCCGAGATTCAATTTGCTCATTTTTCTGATTTAAGCCTCAGGTCGTTAAGAAATGGATGGATGTTTATTATTTTATTATAAAGGCAGTTTCTCACGTTCCATTCTCTACATAAATTTTATTTTATTAAATGTCACTATTTGTGACAATGGATTTGAAGATTCACTCTGTTGATATTTCCAGAAAATCTCGTCCTCCTGCTTCAAGGCGTCGTTCAGCGAATGCGAGAGCTAAAGGAGCAAATAATACCAGTTGTATAGATTCAGATGCAACGAAGATCTCAGTAATGGAACAACAACAGCAGGTACAAAAACAATCGTTAGAGCAGCCATCTGAACAACATCGGTTACCGGTGCAAGATACAGGTTCCCCTTTTGTTGAAAAATATTTTTTTTAGCTTTAAACATTTTGTGGCATTAATTAAAAGGCAAAGTCTTTTTCAGAAAATTTTTAATTAGTTTAGAAACATCCTGTATCAGTATTCCGGTCTGTTCTGCAGCGGAAACGGGCACTGGGGAACAGCATACTGCTGTTTCGGTTCCTATGTGCTGCTCATCAGAGCGAAATATCAAAAGAGAAGAAACAATGATCGGCCCTCCAACAACTGAAAATGCGGTGTTTGAAGAAAATCGAAGCGTTCAATTCTCGCCATCTGCGTTTACTTCGTCTCGATGATGATGATTTCCAGACTATCGGTTTTATTGAATTTTTTGAAATTTTTGACACTGGGCTCATTCAGTTTGCATATGTCTGAGCATAATGGTATTAAATAAATTTTTAGTTTTTACGTTAGTGAAAGTGGTAGAAATTTTCACTTTGATGTTGTGATACTTTCCCTGGAATTATGCATTCCGTAATATCCCTTTAAATACTATTCTCATTTGGTAAGATTTCGATAGGAAGACTTTTCTTCATTTTCTGCTACTTTTAGCAATGTAGTTCAAAAATTCGAGTGCTGAGAAAGGGCTAATCTTGATTCGTAACTCTTTTATATTTTGTTTATTTTTGGGACATAAAGATTCAAACAGTCTCTGTTGTGATGCATATATAATGTTGGTATACAACATACAGGAATTCGATCTTTGCGTTGTTTACTTTTAAGGATTTAATATGTTCAGAAATCACGTGCTGCAAGGAAAAATATTTGGTGTTTTTTCAGTTGATTAGTAACTTGAGATAACTCTGGTCATGATACATGATGACCAGTGTTGCTACACTTTTTGCGGATATCATTTTTCCTTGCAGATGTTCCTGAATTACTATTTTTATAAATAATCATTTACAGAAACATAAGTTTCAATGAATAGGACGTCTTCCACTGCCAGAGCAGTATCGTTGAGAGTGTCAACGAAGTGCAATAATCTTATGTCATGGCTCAAACGGACGGAAGGTCCCTTGAAAAAAGAAACTGCAGCAAAGATTTCATTTGTTGAGGGGAAAGAAAGCTTAGGTTTCTTTTATATATTTGTCATTTGGATAGTAATAAGGTAAACACTATTACATTTGAGTATTTTTGCTAAAAATTTAAAAATAATGGTACTTCTGAAAATTATTCAGTCTCAGGAAAAGATGTTACGTCACAAGGATCAGTAGAGTATCTAAAAAGTCTGGTTGAAGATACTAATTGGCGAAAAGTGCTTTTGGTTGAGTTTCAAAAGGAATATATGGATAAAATTGTTAAATTTTTGATAATGGAAAAGGAAAAGGTAATCTTAAAATGATGATTGTTAATAGAAATGGTAACTTTTACCACTAAAGGTTTTAAAGGTTGAATGAAAGATGAGTTTAGAATTGTTTCCCGTTTATTTCCTTTTTGAAAGTTTTCCTGAATTGCTTGTATTCAGGGAGTGAAAATTTATCCACCTCAACATCAAATTTTCAACGCTTTCAACCTCACTCCGCTGCAGCAAATTCGCGTTGTGCTTATAGGTCAAGACCCTTATCATGGCGAAAACCAGGTATTTTATAATTCCACAATTTCAAATTCCAGCATGCATTTAGAATAATTCATGCAGTTAAGTTTCAGGCACATGGACTGTGCTTCTCAGTTTGCAAAGGTGTCAGACTTCCACCCTCACTTATAAATATCTACAAAGTTAGTCATTTGAAATTCGTGATACTTTTGCTTCATTTTTAATTGTATGTGCCTTATTTACGGTATTTAAGGAACTGAAGACGGATATACCAAATTTCAAAGTTCCTGCCCACGGCTGTCTCGAGTCTTGGGCTCATCAGGGTGTCTTTATGTTGAACGCAACACTGACCGTTGAGTAAGTAATGTTAATGGTATTGAGTAAACAGTCATAAATGGCAATGAAATTATCAACAAGTTAGCTAATAATGAATTGATATTGCAGTCATTGTTTAAAAAATTTATATCTGTTAAGCTCCAGTTAGGCGATCTACAAAGTAAATCACAACGAGTGAATAAAATGTCTGAGTGAAACCTACATAAAATTTACGTATTTTATATAGGATACATTTTTTCTTTTGTTATCCTGATTATTTAATTTGTAAAAATGTTTAGAGCTCATCGACCAAATTCGCATAATCATATCGGGTGGCAAAAGTTCACTGATGAAGTAATTCGAATCATTTCACGTGAATGTAAAGGAATCGTCTTTTTGCTTTGGGGGGGATTCGCTCACAAGAAAGAATATATAATTGACAAGAAAAAGCACATTATTATCAAGGTGATTATTTTTCAGCCATATTTGTTTGAAATGTGTCAGATTGATTAGGCTTGGAAACAATCTGAAATTCACAAATTTTTCTAGACTGCACATCCATCTCCACTAAGTGCACGCATGTTTTTGGGTTGCAAATGTTTTTCGAGAACCAACGAAGCTCTGATGAAACTTGGGCAACCGGTTGTTGATTGGGGTGCATTCTGAAATCTTTTGCTGTTGATTTTTTATACCCGATATATGGCTCGGAATTAATGCAGCGTTTCTTCACTTGTTATGTGTCATTCCAATTTTTTGTTAACTCACAGTTTTTATATAAATTTGCTTTTTTGTGCTTATTGTCTTCGTGGAAGTCTTTACTTGCATTCACTTACCTCACTTGTATGCTCATTCTTAACTCTTGTAGGAAACATCTAATTTCTTACTTTTGAATACTGTGCTTATCTTATTTTCTCAATTCTGCTTTTGCAATAATCTGTTATGTTCTTCATTGCAAAAAGAATCTCATTTTATGAAAAAATCTCATTGTCAGGCTTTTTTCATACTGCTGCATATTTCCTATAAATTGATTTTCTATTGACTTTTTTCACAAATGCACTTTTACAGTTTTACAGTTTGGAGTTAGAAAAATGACACTGATAAATTTCATTGTTTTTCTGGAGGTCTGCAACGGTACTTTTCAGATAATAAGACACATCTGCCCAGATTTTATACTTCTCCAGTTCTTATTCTCTGGGATCTTCGAGAACAGTCCACTACTTTTTTCGAGAATTAGGGATATCCATCAGCCAGTATTTCATGTGGAGAGAAAATAAGGTCTTGGAGAGATTAGCGTGACTTCAGGTTTTTGTACTTTTGGGCTACTTTTACGATGTGTGCTAAGAATATGGAACTTTCTGCAGTCACTTTGATTCAATTTGACGGTTGTATTTAAGCCTAACTTAGAGGAGTATCGATCTCCTCAGCGGCATATAAATCCGCCATCCGTAGATCAGATAGTCTTGATAATTCCCATTCAACGACGAAGTATTAAGCATGTTTTATTCTTTCCACAGACCTTCCATACAGGGTATTAAAATGTGATATAAGCGGGTGGCTAGCGCGTTTGGCTATATATATATATGTATACATATATATAATGCACACAGGAGTAAGCAGGCTATGAATATGTTGATTAGAGAAATCTTCGAAATGTAGGATGGAATGTGAATTCCTGAGTAGGTGATCATGTGATTGTAACTGGAATTGATTGTGGAAATTGCATTCAGTGCGGCGCATACAAATCTAAATCCCCTGTGAACATTTGGTAATTGCGCTATCGGACAGAGAAATAGGCTGAAGTAGCCCCTGGGGTACTGCCGGCTCCGCCGCCTGATGGTGCAAAGTATGCCGATACACCTGGGCCAGCAGCACTGCCGGTAGCACCACCTCCAACTGGCTTAGCACCACCGCCACCACCAGCGCCAACACCAAAGTAGGCGGAGGTATAGCCTCCACCACTACCACCTGTAAGTATAGGATGTTTCACTAGTCACACATTTAAATTATAAAAAAACTTTCGGTATCGAAAAATTTTGAATTTTGAGTTCATTGTTGGAGCTAGTAGATAAGAAATACGAAATTTAAAAGGAATTCAGCCAAAAAGGAATGATGGACAACAACCTCCACCAACACCAAAGTAAGCAGATGTAGCTCCACCACCACCTGGAGCTGTTGGCGAATATCCTCCTCCTCCCGCTGGTGCTGAAATCTTTTTTATTATTAAAAATTTTTTTGAAGCACTTATATGTTGGCTCAAATTAAACACTGAATTTAAATCTTAGAATAAAATTACTTAAACCTTCGAAAGCTTTTAAAACAAAAAAATTAAAGTTAACTTGTTGTTTGACATATATTACCTGGAGCAGCTCCAATAGCAGTTCTTGTTAAATCTACCGGCGCTCCAATAGCTGTTTTTGTGAAATCTCCAGTCGGAGATCCAATTGCAGTCTTTGTCAGATCTACCGCACCAATGGCAGTTCTGGTAGGATCCACAGCACCAATAGCAGTTCGAGTGGGATCCACAGCACCGATAGCAGTTTTTGTTGGATCGACAACACCGATGGCAGTTCGAGTGGGATCCACAGCACCGATAGCAGTTTTTGTTGGATCAACAACGCCGATAGCAGTTTTTGTTGGATCGACAACACCGATGGCAGTTCGAGTGGGATCCACAGCACCGATAGCAGTTTTTGTTGGATCGACAACACCGATAGCAGTTAGAGTGGGATCCACGGCACCAATAGCAGTTTTTGTTGGATCTACAGCGCCAATAGCAGTTCTCGTTGGATCTCCAATGGCTGTTTTCGTAGAATCTATTGCACCAACTGCAAAACTATTTTAATTAATACTTGTCGATTATCTTAAAAATTTATTCAGCTACCACATTTATAACATAACAGAACTAAAAGTAACATTAAAGATCCACATATGGAACATTCAGATTATATAATCCATTAGTGCTAAAGTCTCGTTTACATTCACCCGTATTCTGTGCTTATGTAGCGAAATAAATTGGATGCCGTTTTAATTTTTTTTTTCCAAAATTCAATCTGTATAAGCTGAACACTTAGTTATTTTCCTTAGATATATCGCTAAGTCATCTTTTTTTCAATTTCTTTCAAAACCAGGAACTGTTCTACTTTAACTGAATACATTCAGAAAACTAATATTTTTAATTTGGATTTCCTAATACCTACTCAAAAAATATTATTTTAATACTATGCTTTGAAAAAATTACCTGTGGGTGAGCCTCCGCCTCCTTCTCCCAAACTTCCAGGTGTAGTCGGTGAAAAATACGCTGAAACATATCCACCTCCTCCTCCCGATCCTGGTGCAGCGAAATAAGCGGACGTTGTACCACCACCACCACCTCCGCCTCCAAAACCTATACCACCACCGCCACCACCACCTCCAACGCTGGGTCTTGCTCCTGGTGCCGCGAAGTATGCAGATACTGTTCCCGGTGCAGCACCACCGCCACCACCCGGTGCACTGAAATACTGCGACGTCATCCCCCTTTCAGCCACGCCGCGCGTTAGTTATAAGAATGCAAACAATAATCTAAGTAGTTAAAACTCGATTTTAAATCATATTGCATTCAAAAAAAAAAATAATGATACTAATTTAGTAGATTCAAGACTTATCGCAAAATATGTAAATGTCGCATTTGCTAACTCATAATAGTAAAGCTGTTTAATCGCATTCTTGTGTGGTAATTGTACTAAACATAATAAAAAGTTATGTTAGCAACAAACATTTACTATACAATTCCTAATTCAAACAACAGAAATAATTTATTTCGGCAAAAACAATAAATTTTCTGTTAACGATTACACTATCGAATTAAGCAAGAAAAAATCATCGGATAAAGAAATGAAAAAATAAATCAGTAATTTTTAATACAGAGTGAAAACCCAGTAACAGAGATATAGTAAAATATTCTGTTTTATTTCAGTTTTTTATCGCTAACGCCTTATCGAAAATACTCTTCACAAATTAAATAATATTTCTCAAGAATTATATTAAATTTCGCCGTCACAAAGCATTCCTTAACGCCACTTTTAGAGCAGGTTGCCGTTGCATGGGATTTTCTGTTCTTGTGCTGTGTAAATACCTGAAAAGAAATAAGTGTAAATAGATAGATTTGTGTCTCTAGTTAACAACGCTAGGTTATTCATTCAAATATTTGGTAACAGAAATGTATCAGAAATATGGAGAAAATAGCAACTACCAATTTTAACTTACAAGTAGGAGACAGCACACCACGCTGCGATAACTGCAATTCAGAATTAAAACATTGAAATGGTTCCACTGCGCCTGACAGACTAGTGTCATTCATGTTTTTATCTATTCCAGGTACTTTTTTCAGAAATTTCTGGATATACACCAGAGCAGCTTCGCATTCCTTCACATTTTGGCCAATTATTTCTACAGGAAATACACCGCCATGTCTTGCCTCTGTGTGCAACTACAACAAGTGTATCGGTGAATAACAAAGATTACACTTTTTTTTTTTTGATAATACCAGTATTCTATTCGTTCGCATTTATAAAAAATAAACAAAAGACTTTGTCGAGGATTCAAAGTTTGAAGAAGATTTTCTAAATTTTATAAAATACAAGACCGAAATGAAGCAGTTTGTATGCTCCTCGATTCTTTTCTTATTTACTCCTCGAATGCCAATTAGGTGCGAAGCTTCAGAAGCAGGCACAGTGAAAGTTAAGCTTTTGTCTGCTTGATCACGTAACATAGCTTCGCATTCGTCCACTGAAAAGTATTCGTAAATTATTGAAGAGGCTTGATGAATGAATTTATTCACGCAACATTTCAAAAGAATAAGAAATTTACATGTGCGACAAGATACTTCCGGAACTGATCGTGATACATGCGAGCCACAGCAAACTGTTACGGGAGTTGGCCATTTATGAATTTTCCCAAAATAACTTTCAATTAGTTCCATTAGCGCTGTCTTTGCAGCTAATGCATTGGCTAACTGTAATTAGAAATTAGCTTGCCAAGCTCATTACACTTCCGTTGAAATGTTTTCCATATTTTTTAGATAAATTTGTAGCCCGACTTAATGCGCTACTTCTATATGATCTTTACTATGTGTCTTTTGTTCTGATCACCTCTATTATACATTCTTGCAAAAGAGATGAAAATCATAATGACACTGAATTTAATGCAACAATATGGGTTAAATGTGAATTCTAGTTTTTACGAAGCAATATAGTTATGAAAATATGAAACAAACTGCTTGAAACATACGTCTTTGGTGATTATATCAATTTTAGTGTTACCAATTGCATCAGTATCCTTAAAATGTGGTTCAATTACGCAACGATATAAATGTTCCAAAGCATTTACACTTCGCTTATTGTTTGAAAATAAAAACTGAGCAATTGCACTCGGAATATTCATCAAAATAACGCAAGGTTCTTCATTAGAGCCTTGCAAAGCTGTGTCTGAAAATATGCAAAAAAACTACACTGACATCAAAAGTGATATTAAGGATTCGAGAGAAAAAATCTGTTATTAAACATAGCAAGAGAGATGACGGAAGAGTAAGAGATAAAGTAAACTGGAAAAGAAAAAGTATTAGATAATGAAATGTAGTCACACCAAATTAAACAACATTGTATATTCTTACTTCCCCATTTATACACGAAACATAATTTAAACTTGCTGTTTTTAAAAGATGCTTTGCGAAGAATCGAAACTACTTTATGGTAAGCACCACAAACTGAGGCTCCATTTCCAAAAATACACACGTGACCATTGCTATCTGTCTGCAAAATTAGCCATAGAAAAGTAAGGAAAATATTAAAAACGACAAATGCTTTGCAATTATTTAAGAAACATACTTTCAACTGCAGTGCTTCCGTTCGGTGTAGAAGAGTCTTAGCATTCAGTTGTATAAGAGCAGCTTCGGAAGGTGATACTTTAAATAAAAACTGATAATCTGATTTGGCAGTTAATTCACAAATTTCTATAGCACTGCAAGATTTTAAAAGCATAACAAATTAGAGGAAAATATGAAATTCAATAATCAACATGACATAGTTGTTTAAAGCGCAAAAACAACAACTAATACGATAATAACTAAAAAACCAACTAATTCGAATAAGGTTAAATTCTTATCACCATAGGAAATTTTTTTCTTTTTTTTGGACAAAAGTAACATTATTTCCACCACTAACCACTACAAGACGAAAAAATTCAATAACCGCTGAAAATTATTCATTTTCCACGCATCGGAAAGTGCTTCTTGGATGAACTTTAGATTCTGCTCCTTCAAACCTTTCACATAAACTGAATCTTCATCAATGATAAATTTTACGTCGTATCTTCTTTCCAGTTCCAGTAATGCATCACTTGCATCATTACCTAAATTTACAAATTTTTAAAGCTCGACGTTGTAAGCAAATCTTCTGAATTTCTCCAAAAATTTGAAAATTAAAAGTTAGAAAATATGAATTCAGAAACGTAAGCCTCTCTGTTTTGTCAAAGAAAGAAAAATATTTGACCTGTGACATAAGAAAGGAAAAGTGGTAATTCAAACAATAGTTTTGTTGAACAACGTTCCGACATCTTACTTTTCTTTCGTACTTAAGTGGGACTAGAACTATTGATTATTAAATTGAAAATTTAAAAAATAACGAGAAAATTCTATGTTGAAACCATTAAGCTAAGCTATACAAAACCTGACAGGACCTTAGTTGAAATAACTGATCATAATTGAAAAATGATGAGGATGAGTTATTCGAAGTTCTCTGAAGTTTTCCGTCACCGGTGGTAATGGAAGAGTACTATTCCATGAGATGAAACTCTTACTATGCTACTATTCACTGATAACATTTTCTTTTTCCGAGAAGTGATAAGACTGTATGTATCAGTTAATATAAGTGCATTCACAGACATACCTATAATGCTCCCTAATCTTTTAAATTCAAGTCTAAAACACAACTTCAATTTTCAATCCAATCAACTTCCCAAAAGTAAAGTCATTGACCCGATTAAGAGAGCTACCCTTAGTCTTCCGCCTTTCTCAGCCATACTGGGTAAACGACTGCAGCCATCTCACTGAAACAATTCAAAACTCTCGTCATCACGTAATGCACATTACCCGACCTCATCCCAATTTCGTTTCCATATCCTCTTTTCATTTCCGACCTTTTCCCGCCAAAACAGGCAATTTGAAAAACTTATACAAGGTAACAACTATTACATTGTGTCTTGTCCTCTTTATTTTCGTGGATATCCTCCAGTCAGAAATAATATACTCTGTCTCTTCCAATTTATTTTTTGAAAGTGGTCAAAGAAGTTGAACAGTTTATCAGTGACACCAACTCATCTATCACCTTTCTACATAAATCATTATTTAGCACTTTGTGTATTAAGTTTTCTTCTTTACCAGCTGTTCCAACCTTCTCATGCTCGAATCGCTGATGTTTTCTAATGCCGAGATCGTTGACGATTGCATTTTTACTAAAACTGAATAAAATTAAGTCCCAAATTTACCTTATGCCTTAAGTAAAGATGTGGAACAACCAAAACTTTCTAAACCAAGTTTTCTGCTAAAAAAATGTAGCCAATCTCGTTGATACCATACTTCAATTACAGTAGTTCAAACACTTCCCTTTTTTAATGCATCTCCTTTTTATAAAATCTGATTATTTCTTTTGAACATCAAAATACTGAAAAAGATCAACACTAAAGCACAAAGAATTAAGAACGTTTCAAAAAATTGCCACCAATTTCCATATTACAATATTCTCTTGTCCTTACTAGTTTCTTCTCGAATTTAATAAATAAAAATAAAAACCAACGGCGGTTTTCAACAGTTGCTTGTCCCTCAACACGTGATTTGTATATTTGTATAATACTCGTTTGTTCCTGACGTTTTAATGCCTTCATTTCTAGAACTTTCTGTAACTCCGAAGAATCCGAATCGGGTAATAGTCGTACATATGTCGTTACAAATTCTTCATGTGAATTTATCTCCGACATAACAATCTAAGATGGATTGAAAGCGAAATAAATTAACCATAAAGGAGAAAATTTGTTGAAACTGTTACTTAATTTGTTAGTCAATTTTTTGTCTTTCATGTCACATGCATGTTCCACTATTTATTTCCCTTTGGGCAACTCTACAGTCATATTGGAAAAAAAATTCTTCATACTACGAAATTTATTGTATGATTACTTCAACAAAAATAATGTTAATAACATATATATACATAAATGCTTATCAAACAATTGGCCATTTAACTTCTAGAATACAAAAAAAAAAAACTCAAAGAATGACAAAAACAAACTTTGAGTATCATTTCTACTTTTGTCATCGTTCTTACTACAACATTTGTGTACATTGTTGGCGGTTTCGTGTTAATAGATGATTCAACCGTTGGCAAAGATAATAAAAAGGTCTTCAATGCATGTGTATCCAAAAGCAACTGTTCTGCACCAGTGACACCCACTGGACGACACCTGAATTTCAAGCACACTATAAGAAAATAATTTTAAAAAAATTTAGAAAATCAAGTTATAGATAAATTATACGATAGTGTAATAATAGAAATAAATAGAAATCGCCCAAGAAAATCTTATATTCCTCTATGAAGAGAAATTAAGGAGTAGTAATTAAGGTTAAGATTCCACTTGTGACTTTTCTGTCTTATGAAAACGTAGGATTTTCATAGATGCTTTTTACATTACTATTAACATATGCAAACATAATTTCTAATGGTTCTAACGAACAATGTAGATAGATTCCAACATTTTGGTGATAATATGCAAGATTTTATTTCTATTGCATCACCTTGACCATATGATTACTGGATGGAAAAACTTGTTACTGTAATGTGTCATTACTGTAACTTGTATTTTATCCACATTTTCCAACTCTAAATGCATTTTCTCTGAATTACTCTTTCCATTATTTCAATCAGTGACATGACCATTCAGTATCTACCTGAATAACGCACCCAGGAATTTATTGACCAACTGCGTAGCAAGCTTCAAACAAAAATATGCGAAATATTTTCGTCTGTCAACGAAAAAATCCCTTATCGGCGGCACACTCGACCGCAGATGACTTCGTATCGATGAAACATATAGTGACTCGTCACCAACACTCTCTACACCATGCCAACTGAAAACATTTTTGATTATTAGGTTCTATTGTTATGAAGATTCTTCGGTACTTAATGAAGACCAGCTATCTAAAAAAGAGTTCATCATGCCACGCAAAAGCACGTGCTAGTACGAGACCCTTTCCACAGCCGAAAGAAAAGAGAAATGAAAGGCGTAAAAAAATCACTTTTTTTTTACCATCGTTTGCAGGGCAGCATCACAACTGGACTCTACATCCTGTACTAATACAGAAAGTGCACTATTTGATATACTGTAGAACAATTCCATTTCCTGATTCAGATCGATGCTCTAAAAAAATACCAGATATGATTCTGTCCCATGTCTAGCGTCTAAAAAGAGTATACTTCTAATATTATCCCACGTATTTTCTATACTTTCTACCGTCAAGTCGTAAATAGTTTTAAACAGTAGTTTGCATATTCCTTTATTATTACATTTCTCTATAACCTAATAAATTGCAGATTTAGGATAACCATAGCCCGCACAAAAGAAAAATATATGATTTCGTCTTTTTCCCCATTCAACAAGTTAAAGACACTGCATTCACCTGCACTCGTTGTTTTAGTTTTTCTTGCAGTTGCAGTGTTGTTTCAGCGCACCAATCAGCAGTAGCAAGTATACAGCATGTAAAAAATTGCTGATCAACTGTTAAACGAACTGCAGCTTCATCCCTGAAAATTTTAAAATGAGTTTATAGACGTCCGAAACTGCTATAATGTGACTAGATTTAATTGGACCGTAATTTCGTAACTTCAAGATGAAATAGAAGTTCATCTTGAAATTATGAGACGAAATTTGAATGGAGAGACAAGTAAACAAATAACAGCACGAAATATCAAAAAATGAACCTCATCAAAGTTTGTAAAATTGAAGCAGACGAAAATTGAGTAGATGATAAGGATGGCAAGAAAGCTGTTAAACAACCATGAGCATAACCACGAAGACAGCTGCGCAGTACTTCTACGAGATTCCTAAAAGAAAAAAAAAATACTTCTAAGTAATTCCTTATCAATTGGCTTTGATATCATTCTATAACTGCTTTTCAAATATTACATTACACAAAGTAGTAAGTTTTCTTAAGGTGATGGACACTATCAATGGATGGCAAAATGGGATTTTTCCTCAAACGGTACTAATGACATCTCAAAGACAAGTGGTAACGAATGGTTAATTCGAAGAAAGCAAAAGCTGAGATAATATAACTCCAAACCTTAGTAAAGAATTTGGATTGGAACTGAGTTTTGTTGATTCGGCAATTATTTTCTTCAACAAAAGGAACATATCGGCAGATGATGGAAGTGGATATGCATGAGATGCAGTTTCTCGGGTTGGTCGTTCAGCACCACTCCTAATTCTAATGATGCATTCCTCTAGAAAACTATCCAAGTTTTTCTTTTGAGCTGCCACAAATACATCCATATACTTGTCAAATACTTGCCAAATGATCTGAATTGAATGTTAGAATCTTAGTTTCTACATCATAGTTTCTATATCGGCGAGAAAATTTTATTTCTCATGGCCTTATTTATACATTCTGGTTACTTTTAACGCTTTTTTCTTCAGATATGATCAGTCTAAACCAATAATAAAACAATGATAAAACCAATAATTAAACAACTGTTTAAATTCCATGCCTAATGAAATACCTAACCATTTCCTAAATTAAACAATTGTTTAATTTCATAAAATGTTGGGTGTTTCACAAATGCAGTTTAAATGTTCAATAAAACAATACAACAATTTCCCAACGAAGTCATGATTGCAACGTTAACTGTTTTATTGATGAAACTTTCTGACAATGAGCAAACAGCAATATCTTCTCGACTGTTCGATGATTTTTTCTAATGAAATATTCACATCAAATTTTATGAGTCAAAGAGAACAAACCTTTTCGAAGTTGTAACCTTCTTTTGCTGGGAATCTTTTGCAAAGTAGATTTTCAAACATCACTGTATGATTGATGGCATGCGCGAGTACTTTATAATCAAGTTCTAACCAACGTCTCGACATCATTCGTTCCAACATCCCTCTGATAAATTGTGCGATGAAAGATATGAAAAATTGAAGGCAACACTTTAAGATAATTATAATCAGATATTATTATAATCTGATATTGTTCTTCCCATTTTTATTTATTTAGATGAATTTGTGTAGATGTTTATTGTAGATATTGTATTTGCAGAAATTCAGAAAATCCAACGCAAAGCACATGGAAAGAAATACCTTGTTAAATTACAATATCCTAAAGTCAAACGCCGACCCATATCCCAATCAGCGGGGAATACTTTCATCACACTCGTTTTTTCAAGTTCTGTCAGTTTTTGCACGAACCATCGATATCTATAAAAAACAAGTCTTTCACTAAATATCAACAGTAAATTAAAATTTGATAAAAATCTAACCTTAAGTCAATTTTATCAATCCAAGCAATACTTTCACTTTCACCGTATAACACAGTATATTCGGAAAGCTGATGTTCTATGAGCCATTTGCAAAAATCTTCCCGTATAACTGGATCCAACGATGAAACAACGCGGCACATATCAGTTACCGAAGAATTTAAGATTCCGGTCTGAACACAAATTAATTCATATTTTGGAAAAAAGAAAAACTAAAAAAAAATTTTTTGGAAAATATTTTTGAAAAAAAAGTTGCATATATTTTGGAAAAAAATAAAACTTAGTTTTTAAGGAAATTAATATTGAAGATATTTTCTAATCAGTCAAAAAACCTGGAATGAATGCTTCAAATCCGAAGCAAGTTGAATAGTTAATCGCTGTTTTAGTCGTTCGAGTTGTTCAGAGATATTTTTGATATGTTCTACTTCCATATAAGGACCAAAAAGCTGTAAGACATTCAGGACAGCCGGTAACTGTGAAGCAATATCACCATATCGATGTTGATCTATCCATGATCCTATTAAGTAAATATATACTACAGAGCTTCATTTGACGAAAAGTGGAGATTTTTTGGAATTCAAAAAATCATGACTATCGCAATCCTTAAAAAAAAAAAAAAAAAATTATGAAAGAAAATTACAAAAATTGGACCTAAATTAATATCTTGGAAATCTTAATAATTACCTTACCAGCAGAACAAGATCTTCAGGTTTTCTGATATTCTAAAATATAACTGAAAGGTAACTTGAAACTATTCTTTATCAGACTTTACCAAATCAAATCCAGCACTACTAACGAGAATTTTAAGTATTCCAAATAATTAGAATGAGAAATCCATTTTTCTCCATATACATATACTGAAGCTTCAACAGGATTTTCTTTCCTCGCTGTATTTGCCAAGTTCGTTCCCTTAGCTATGATTTCGCTAGATAGTAGATTGGGGACTGTGGAAATCTTATCAAACATTCGTGTTCATGAATTAGATGATAAGGCATTTGGTTACCTTAAGAGTGTCAAAGTTACTTTCTCTGTTTACCTCTGTCCGGTTGAATCCCATCATTTTTACATTTAGAGGTGTTTACTGCAGAACTTGCTTATTGTGGAGTTTAAATGTAAGCAGTTTTTAATAAGAAAGACGGTACCGAGTGAATAGACGCCAGTTAGCAGAATTTGAAGATGATGAAGAGCTTTGAGTGATGAGATTAAATTCCGCTTTGCGACATCAAGCTGCTTGATGTCACGAGTCATTTCCTGCACAACATTTTCTGAGGACTGTGTCTTCAAGCAAACCGCCTGTACACGCTCTTCTAAGTCTCTCATCGCAGCATGGGCCTAAACATTCATCTCGCATTAATAAATCTAAAAACAATTGAAATTTATTCATTTGCTTTTATTTCTGCTTTAGTCACATATCATATATCAGTCAAATATAAATGTTTGAAACAATAGAACAATGAACCTCATCTAAGGCCTGGCCTCCTTCAGCACCAGCCTTCTCATGTGTTTCAACAAGTTTCGCCAGCTGACGATCCAAGCCAACGATTTCATCCTTGATCGACTGCATTACCGAATCCAAATGTGATAATGACTGTTCTGTTGGAAATAAAGCATTGATCTGATCAACAACATCCACAGCAGAAGGGCAAAATCCACCACCACTGACTGAGGCAATAGTATGAATCACCTGAAATTGCAGTACAGCAGCACACCATTCCTTTCCAAATTGAAAGCTCTCTTGTTTAAGAAAAGAACGGAAAATTCAGTCATGCGTAACAGAAGCATTGAAAAGATGAACTTAACTCTTCCCTTTTTCCTTTGCCGTGTTCTTACAACTAAATATGTAAATTCTACTCCAAATAATATTCTAAAGATTAATTAAGCTAAGTGCTAGTTTAAAAATGTTGAGATCAAGCAAGACACAATGAAATAAAGGAAATGTCATCCTTATCAAACTAATAATCACTCACCCTGTCACTGAATGTCACTTCATCTCCTACAACCTCAGTACTTCCAACTTTCTTCGTTCCAAGGTTATTTTCTAATGCCTCGTTCATATCCTTCTCATCAAAACTGCTGCTTTTTTCCATCAGCATATTGCTAATATCTTGAAAAACGAAATGCATTTTACATAAGAGTGTAACCGACCGTTCATTTTAAAACAGATCAATTTATCTGAAAACTTTGTAGACATTTTCTTCTTCATTCAACTTCAATTAACTTTGAACCACTCCCTTTAAATCTTGAATGTCTATTCCATCCAAGTCCTCCAGTCCTGACCTTTATCCTAAGCAACTAACCAAGCCTTACTCTTGAAGTACAAAAACTGATCCACAGTCTGATTAGTAAACAATATCGATGGCTGAATGACGCAGCGATATGCAATTGTGACTTGAGACGACTCTTTCAAAGCGCTGACATTATCGCTTATCATGGGGCCCTCTGAGGGGGCTGATAATGTGTTCACTTTGCACGCAACAATGAAGACACGTAACCACACAAAGTCTTATCAGTGGACTCTTCATATCTGCAACGTTACGTCCCACGTCACTGTTACATTCCGTTGCATCCGAACTTGAACACTTCAACTTCAATTCTAGCTTCCGTTCAGCTCGAAGTTTGTTGTCATACCATTTCCCTTCCCTTCTTTTTATACTTAATATAGAATAATATTCCTGCACTGCTCCTCTCCCCATCTCAGTATTGAAATGCCTTGCTCTAAAATGTGCAATGTTTAGTGAGGTGAGTGATTTAATTTCGTCTCAGATTTCAGGTCTAATAAGCAGAGGAATGAAGTTTGAGAATTTGCTCGGTCAGCGGGGTACTGCTGTGGCGAAATGTCTGGGGTGGAAGCAAGGTTTGTATCTTATCTGAAATTCATTGCAAATGTAACTTCTTTGTTGAAGAGCTGAACAGAAATCCTTTATCGCCAGGAATTATATGAATGTATCAGTTGTAGGTGATGAAGAGGAAAGCTGGTCTAAGAAAGCTATCGATAGTTTGATGAAGAAGCTACAAAAACATAACAAGGAAGCATTGGCAAGTTTGGAAATGGCGTTGCAGTGTCAAGGACGTCAACGAACAGACTGCGTTACTATACCACGTTCACTTGACGGCAGGTTACAGGTTCGTCGTTCATTCTCGTTTGTTTTCTACAAATTTTTTTGAAATAAAGTAGACGAAAATTCTGATCTCTTCATCACTGAGTTTGAAATGTATCAGCTGAATAATACCGTAATATAGCTCAATATAGTTTGGGCGATTATAGGTCAACACAGAATTCGTTTTTTTATTTTGTTATAGAATTCATTTTGTCATCAAAATGTAGCGGAAAAATATTTGGTTTTTCCTATGGACGTCAGTATGTTCTATTCTGTGACGTATTTGGTTACATTTTTTAGATATCGCATCGGAAAGCGTTGCCACATGTAATTTACTGTCGTGTTTATCGTTGGCCAGATTTGCAGTCGCATCATGAACTGAAAGCAATCGATGACTGTCGCTATTGTTATGAATCAGGTCAAAAAGATGTTTGTATCAATCCATATCACTACGAAAGAGTGGAAAGTGCTGGTATCTTACCTCCGGTTCTGGTACCCCGGTATACTGAACCACCGCCACATATTATACCACGACTATTACGTATTTCTAGATTACAAACGAGTCCATCGGCTTCATCGATGCCATGCAATATTGACTTCAGTCATTACAGTGATGCAGTTCGTTTCAACTTCCACTTTTTTCAAAGTTTCACTCAAAACTTATTTTTTCTGACGCAGGTCAAATATCTAATCTCTTGAATGTCTTTCTTCCTGCTGATTTGTATTGATCTGCTGAGTTTTTTGCAGATGTTCAGTTAAGCTTTTGTTCTAATAAAGAGGACTTTCTGTTACAAATTCATTGTTACTATAACGGTATAATTAAAGAATTCCCATCAGATTTAGTTAAGGAAACTTAAGAGATATTTCCAGGTGATGATGTCAAAACGTGACGACGAGATGGATGCAAGTGTAATCATCCCGAACGGTGTTACCACGATAGAGGTGTGCTGGTTTATGTTATGATTTAAAAGAAATTTTCGGTCCGAGTTTTCTCATATTATTTTGATATGGAAGACCTGAAGTTTTTTGAATCTGTATTCTGTCTTTGCTCATCGTTCTCTAGAGTTCATTTCAGATACCATATGAGGAAGGGAAGTTCTGGGCTACAATCAGCTATTTTGAACTTAATACTCGTGTCGGTGAACAATATAAAGTTTCATCCCCAACCGTTGAAATTGATGGTTTTACGGACCCAACCTCAAATCCTGGTAAGATATGTCTTGGTCTTTTGTCTAACGTGAACAGAAATCAACAAATCGAGTCGACTAGACGACGTATTGGAAGAGGTTTGATTTTCCGTAATTTACAGCCATCAAATTACCTGTGCTAGATATGGTAAATTATTTGTTTTAAAGAGACAGTATTGTTTGTTTTCACCATAATCTTTTAATTCTTACAGCTCTAATTTTTATTCCTGTCTTTTTTTTATTTTTTATAATTTTCCTAGATGCTTAGGAGTTTTTTTTTTTATTCATAAATTTCAGGAGTAAAACTTACTTATGTTCCAAATCAAGGAACACTTTTTGCCGAATGCCAAAGTGAAAGTGCTATATTCATTCAATCTCGTAACTGCAATTATTTTCATAGTTTTCATCCGACAACAGTGTGCAAAATAACAAATGGAATTTCTTTGAAAATTTTCGACATGTCAAAATTTAGAGAGGTTTTCTTTTTGCAAAAATTTAAAACGCAATATTTTCTTCTTTACACAAAGAATATATGATATTTCTTCTATAAATCTTTGTTATTTTAGCTCTCCATTTATTTATTTTTATCAATAGATGTCATTTTTGATCTGGAATTTGTTGTTTTCCAGCTGTTAGCTGAATCGACACGTTGCTGCTCATTTGATGCAATCTATGAGCTAACCAATATGACAATCATACGTATGTCGTTTGTGAAGGGTTGGGGTGCGGAATATCAGAGACAGGATGTGACATCTACGCCTTGTTGGGTTGAAATACATCTGCACGCTCCACTACAGGTATGCCTTTCATGGTGTAGTGCTAACATTTAAACTTGATTAATTTGTATTAAAATAATTTGGGATAAATCGGGAAACAACCATAATCCTTCTATTTTGTTTTTTTCCTACTCACATTCAATCGAAATCGATTTTTTATCATTTTCTTATATCGTCGAATGATAAAAAACCAATACTCATTTTTGTTTTAGTGGCTGGATAAAGTTCTTTCTCAAATGGGTCCTCCGCCTAATCCAATTTCTTCAATATCTTGATTCTTTACAATGTCAATTTCTTTCGGAATATGATGAACGACGAGATGTAAATTTTTTTATGTGACATTTGAGTGAGTAATGCTTGCTTTTGTTTTAATCTGCGCATTCGGAATAAATTAAGAGATTTCTTTCGTGTCATTTTTTCCATGTAAATTTGTCTTTATCTTCAACTTGTAGCCTCTTAATCAATTGTTTTCAGAATAATTTCCAATTAAAGCATTTAAAATAACTAGTTGTATTTACGTTTTAATTGTTGAACAGAATTTTGATTACTATTTGTACATTTTTTTGCATTTTCATTTACATAAAATGAACTACATATATGTTTAGCGTTGTCATGAATCAGCACTTTTTAATAGCCCGTCAGCCCTCTAACAATTTTTTTTTTTCATATTATTCATAAAATATTAGATGTTTCAATGTAACCTCATTATCTAGGTTTTCATCCAAAATCCAAACCTCAAAATTATTCATATCCAAAGTCATGCATATAATATGTGAGTGAAAAGGGAAACAAATTCAGTTCAAATAGTTTATCCTCATTCTTATTCTTCGTTTATAAATTTAATGGTTTTTTGAATTTCAAGAAATTTTCACTGTTAATTAGCAGATTTTTGTCATCTGTGTGAAAAGGGTCTAAGTGAAATTCCACTTAGACCCTTATCATTGCTTGTTTTCTGTGGTTTAAGAGAATTTCATTTCAAATGAGGATATTTTGGTTTGTTATAATATCTGATCTCGTTTTTTCTGAGAAATAATTGAAGGGATATGGGGGCATGAAGGTAGAACAATGCAGTTGAAAGTGTAGTAGGAAAATTTATTGAGCTATAACTGTGAAGTTTTTACAACAAATCTAGAATTACTCAAGTTCTCTTCAATTTCTAATTTGCTACTGATGTCTAAGTTTTTAATTTAATGTCATCATAGCTATTTTTGCCTTACCTTTAATACCTTTTGCATTACTCTTCACTTTTGCTATGCACCTTTAACTTTTCATGAAGTTTGTACTAAAATCTAATAAATATGCAATGGTATTCTTATAATTTACATGACCACACATGCTGTCTTTCATATCTCTCTTCTATATGTATTCATTTACATTCAAGTTATATTATTTTCGGAATTGAATAGCACTACAGTTGTTTGTAAGTCTGCAATGTTGAAGTATTGGGAACAATACTTCACATTACAGTATCAGCGGAGTTTTATTTCGTGTCCAGAGTTCAAATAGAAGTGTGTAATGTCTAAGTTCACTTCCAATCTGGGAATCAGCCGTATAGTTCCCTGAGCTTGTTTGTATCGGATTCGATTGTAAATGAAAAATCGTATTTAATGACAGTGGGTAGAAAGTGGCATTTCTGATAGCTGTTTTAGCTGTCTTGAAAGAGAAAACAAACTTTCTTTTGATAACTATTTTTTCTATAAACACTTTATTGATTGCTGATAATCGATGTGCTTGGTTTGTTGTTTTGAAATAACTTGCAGTCTTAGTATCCATTGTCTTTCTTTTCAGATGTTTTTCGAATAAAAATATGTCGTAATAAGCGAATCATCTTTGGTGCTATATTGGTTTGTTGAACCGTTGTATTGACGGAATTGGTTCCATTGATATCCTATTCAGTTCTATTATTATCCAGGCGTATGAATTTATTTCATGAAACAAAAAGTTCTCAGGATGGCATTTCATGTGGATGGTTAACATTTCATTTTTGAATACATTGTTCACTAAGTTTTCCTGTACTGCATTCATCAGGAGGCGTTCTTTTCTAAAGTGGTCTTTCATTTTTCAAATGTATTGCCTAGAAACGCTTCCTTAACTGATAAATATGCAAAATAATCATTTAGTAATGATTGAAACTGACATTGCACTTCATTGGTGTGTTTTTTATTATACTGTAGGTCCATCGTTTTTCATCTTTAATACATCAGGAAGATTTGATTGTATTGAGAAGGTTTGGATGGGAAATGGGTGTATACAGTTTATTGCAGCAATGCTGGTTAAAGGGAATTGGGAGAAAGTGCCATTAGGAAATATTCCATTGACATCATCGGAAATGATTGAAAACGGAGAACGAAGTAGTCTTCGTTTCAAATGTTTCATTATTATTCAAATGATTTTCGTTTGGACAAGCTATACAGTAACTGTGAGATATTCTCGTTTAAGTGCTCCCAGACATTTGGTAAGCGATATGATTGTTTGTAATCTAGCAGATTTCAGAATTTTTAAAACTAATTCAATTTGACGGCCATTACAAAATTTTCATTGTCAGTGTTTAATAAGCATTCATCATCGATTATTAATTTCTAAATAGCATTATTTATTGTAATATGTAGCATTAATCAAACTTTACTTATTTCCTCATTAAACTGTTAGTATTATTTTATTTCATCTAGTGTCCCTTTCATTATGTTCTGTACTTTTAGGTTTATATTTTTGTTCAGCTAAGCTGCGTTTGGAATAAAAAGGTATTATTACAAATTTGTTTTTTCCAGCAATATTCCTCAACAACAGTCGTATACCTTTCGGAAATAATCAAAATGACTATTGCTTTATTCTTTGTCTTCCAGATCAATAACTACAATGTAAAAGAATTTACTAGAGTAAGTTTACTTCATTTTTTACTTGTTCTACATGTGATGATTCACCAGCGTGAATGCATATAGTGGTTTGTCAATTACAATCTATTATCATTATTCCAAATCTTTTATATCTATATTTTTTTAATTTTTTTTTCCAAAACCTTGGACGCTTTAGAATTTATCATCTTTTTTCATTTGTTTTTTTTTTTTCTCTCAGACCTTAGAAATTTTTTTTCAAAATTATTTCAAATTATTATTATTGTAGAGAAAATTTAGGTCAGTATTAGATATAACTTGAAGTTATTATTCATTATTATCGTTGTAGAAAATTTAGACCAGTGTTAGATATATATATCAAAGTTTGAAAGTGCAACAAAAAGTGAAGGACAAGTTTTAGTGAATGGCAGTTTTCTAAATAAATGAATTTTTCAAATAAGTGGCAAATAAATGAATTCTATTTGTAGCAGTTAATTGAATTGCAGTGTATAAAGAAAGAATATTTCGGGAAACCAAAGGATTTGCTGAAGATGACTTTTCCGTCAATAGCCTATGCGCTTCAAAATAATCTTGATTTTGTGGCATTATCAAATCTGAATGCAGGTATATATCATGTTACTACTCAACTTAAAGTGGTTACTACGGCTATTTTTATGATGATTATCCTTGGGCGACGATTCTCGGGCACACGATGGCTTTCAATTTTTTTGCTTTTCGGAGGTGTTGCTGCTGTGGAGGTAACAATTTCGATTTTTTTTTTCTTTTATAGTTAATGTAAGCTAGTTTATTCTTTTGACTGTTCGTCACTAATTGTATTAATTGTGCTCTGTTTGGGAGTGCATGAAGTATGCAACTAGAAAGATGAAGCCAAGTTAATATTGCAAAGCTTATAAGGTATGGTTTTTGGGTTTCGTGCAGATTTCGATATGTTATAGCTTACGTTTTAGTGAACTGGAAAATTTATTTGTGTAAGATATGATAGACTACCACGACCACAATGGGATGTATGAGGTAGAAACAGTTCTAGTTTTTCACAATGTTATCTCATTATTTGCCATCTCTTATTTGAATGAAATTGAATTTCATTCAGTCAAAACTGATGGGTTGAATTTATAGCTCAGTATAAACGAAAGAAGCATTAAGGAGAAAAGTGATGAAAATTACTTGCTTGGATTGAGCGCTGTACTCTTCACATGTGTAACTGCAGGCTTTGCTGGTTAGTAATCTTCCGTTTAGATGATTATGATTTCAGGTACAGATTTAGAAATAGTCGATTTATGACTAATTGCAGGAGTATACTTTGAATATATGCTTAAAGATGGCAGTGAAACACCGTTCTGGATACGGAATCTTCAAATGTATAGTTGTGGCGTAGTTAGTGCAGCTTTGGGATGCATTCTTTCTGAATGGAACAGAATTTTGACTAAAGGATTTTTTTATGGTTACAATAGTAATGTTATTGCTGTCATTCTGTTCTTGAGTTTAGGTTAGTTTTTTTTTTTTTCTCAATTTTAGATAGACTTATATGAAATTTTCTGCAATCTGATGAACAGTAGCAGTCAGAAAAACTAAAAATGTCTGGTAAGTTTTCGGTGAGATATCGAATATAATCCTTCACTCAATATTGTGATGCTTCAAATGGACATGTGATTAAGAAGGTATATAAAATGGAAGAGAGCGATATTACAGACAACACAGCAGCAAATCGTAAGCGAGAAATGCGAAGTTCTTTTTATTCCAGGAGGGATTTTCATATCACTGGTAATGAAATACCTAGATAACTTATGCAAAAGTTTTGCCTCAGCAATGAGTATCATCTTGGTTGTTATGATCTCTCATCTTATATTCCACGACGTGCAGCTGAATTTGATGTTTCTTACCGGTTCCATAACTGTTTGTGGAGCAGTATTATTGTACAGTTCAGTACCAGAGTGAATAATTCTTTCAAAAAATATTTTTATTGTTAAGGATTTGAAAAGTCCAGTTGTCATTTTAATACGTGAAAATCTGTTACGAAATACTCAGGAAAATTATCCAAACTGATTCGTGCCAGTGTGTTTTACTGAAAGTCGAACTTTTACTTCCTTTGAGGTGGTAGTGCAAAAAATTAGAAAAAAAAAAAAAGTAGACTGCTGCACTTTGTATCCATATTTACACATTTGTATTCATATTATTTATAGCGAATGCGGTCTTCATAAATCGTAAGTTTTTCGTGACATTTTTGAATGTTTTTCTAATTGTTGAATGCCACAGGAAATCCAAACTCATAAAAGATTCAAATTGCTTCCACTAAATTCATTATTTTTTCAGGATTATTCTATTCCAATGTATTTATAACTGATTTGGACCTTTATATTGATTCCTTTTTATTCTGTGCTTTTTATATCTAAACGTTTAGATTAATGGTATAAATATCAACCATTTATAGTGCCGTTTTCTTAGCACTTGTTGCGGATTTTAACATCGCGAAGCACTAAATAAATGTTAACAATGCTTAATGTAGCAATCCATTGATGTCTTTTACAATTCATCGTAATGGTTTAATTGACTTTTAATCTTATATCAATTCATATACTATGGGCATCTGTCATGTAATGTCTATTGCAACTCACAGTAGCCATTTATCACAATGCCTAGACAAATCATTATACACTCTTTCGTAATATCATTCAATTCATCGTGATATCCATTTTTAAACTTACTGTTAAAGTTACTATCATCCTTTGTACAAAAATGTCTAATTATAAACCACCCCCACATTTTAACATATATAATGTAAGATAATTGCTACATAAGGATCACCCTTGTTAAAAGAATTAGTATATGTGTAATTTATCGCCAAGGACCGATGATTCCAATTTCAATTGTTCTCTATCAACGTTTTGTCTTATTACTTCTGCTAATAAAGAACTTGGATTATATTTGTTACCTCACGCATTTATATTTACATCCAAGACAATCTCCCTGCGATCAAACACCTCTCCCAATATTATTAATTAAACAATCAAAACCTTCCACGACAGCGCTTGCTTAATATATTAAGACATAGCACTGACGTTTCAAAAACATCTGCTGATAAACAGTAGACTTTTCTCCAATAAGGAAAGATGTATCCGTATTTAAAAAAAGCACCTTCTTTCAGCGGAATTTTCAAAATTCAACCACCACTTATCGGTGGTATTACAGCGATTTCTGAATGCGCAGCGATCGTAAACGTTCCGTTATGATCATCAACATATTCCTGATTTAGAGCTAGTATGCAACAATCTTCGATTGGTGACAAATCTTTGAATATCTAAAAAGAGTTCACTTCAGCATTGCTTGTTTACTTATCCTTTTAAAGTCCTGTAACAACTAGTCTGCTGTTGAATAAACAAGGAGACCAAGGCCTGCCCCGGGATGAAATTTCACTTATTAATCGAATGGACTTGTCAATCTAACCTACTTTTGTTAAGTATGCTTGTTTCAACTCTCAATAATTATACGGCAACTTGGTACTTCAGCAAACAGCGTAATAAAATAGAAGTGTTTGCTTATTTGGAAGTGATTTGAACATAAAAATTTTCTATCGAAACCGAGTGCAGAAAGCTTCCAAAAGCCTTAGTCTTCCGGAAAGTATCCAGAAACAGCAAACGGTAACGTTCAATAAACACTAAAGTAAAGGTAAAAAACCTCATGAAATATTAATTGTCGTAGCTGTCGGCAGTTTAACATATTCGGCACATTTACATTTCTCTCCGATAAGTTAACCAATTCACGTGCTTCACCAAATAAAACAAAACGGACAGGTACTGCTGCCATCATTCTCATGCAAAGTAGAAGCATGTCTTATGTGACCGCATCATTTATTTCTAACTGCAAACACAAAAAAAGCAACTTTTTCGCAAAAAATATGCATACAATGTAGCAACGAATGTGCAAAAACTCATACGGATAGTGACGATACTTTATATTCCTTTGAACTGAACTGATAACGGAAAAAGCAAAAAAAGAGATTGATCTATGTAATTTTTACCTTTATTCGAAAAAAGCCTTCAAATAATTCCCGTATAAGATGATGAATGAAATCAGGAATATAAAAATACATGAAATGGAGATCAATAAAACCTGATAATATAGATTACTAATCCAATAATTCACATAAAAATTAGAACAATAAGAAATGATCAACAACCAATACCTCAGTGCGTCCAGTATTATCAACAAGCATTAAACATGTGTTTCCAAAATTTTTTGAAAAAAACAGATTTGAGAAAAAACAGTCGAAAAACAGCGGAGAATAAAACCATCAATATCAGTACTACTGATGACAAATAAGAGATTCGAGGCGGAGTGTAACATCGCGAATAAACTCACTGCATCCTTCGCTTGCTTTTGCCAGCTCTAATATTTCACGCAATAATATATCACACTTTAACCCACAGATTGAAACGGCCGTAAAATATGTTGAGACAATTTCATTTAACTTGGCGGTACATCCTAGAACGACAATGATTTAAAATACCAGAAAGGTTCATTAAGTCTAAAAAGCTGATATTCTCTAGATATTTTTCTGTTCTGCGTTGAAAGTGAGCCATAAGCTGAACAGTGAGTCGTAAATTTCTATGCTTTTTTACTTGGTCTCTTTTCATCCAACCATCTATTCACGAAAAAATTACATCACTGCCTTTTAGGTTCTATGTTACTACACTGAAGATCATAGTTCAAGTGTAAAATATTTGACAGGGTGATATAACGGCTTGATCGGGATTAATTATACTATTTTTTAGTATACTAACAGTATGTAATTGTATATTTTCTAGTATATTTTTAGTACACTTATATATTAATAATATTATATATACTGTATTATGTTTTCACTATGTTATATTATTATATTAGTAACATTAAAAAATTATTGATCCTGCCACAGTTACACAGTATGGCCATTTTGGAGCAAAACTGCTAGATATCATTCGTTTTCAAAGCAGATTTTCGAAATACATTTGAAGTCCACAGGTCTTCATCTCTGATCAAGTAGATTAGGGATTATTTATAGTATAATTTTACAATTTTCCTACCATGCTGAAGTAGAGATCGTACGTATAAATTGAGGTAGTGACGAAAATCATTAGGAAGTTTTAACGAAAGTGCGCTGCAAAGCCTTTCTTCTAAGAATGAATGTGTGGCACTTATTTGGACTTCACTATTCACATGAATTGGGCTACTGAAAAACAGTAAATTCTAGCATAGAGAATGAAAAAATTCTCGTATAAATAAAAACAAAGTAAAATAATAGTGGATCAGAAAAATTCGCAGAAAGAGAAGAAGTTTTAGCAACAACTAACCTTTTTATAGTACCAAGTAAGGCATTAGCTGAAGCATTCATTGATGGTGTACTTAATCTAGGCAGGATGCTTTTTTCATCAAACAGTAATTGCCTAAAATCAAAAATGGAAACAATTTTTTCAAAATATCTTTCGATATCAGACTGAAGTTCAACATATTTCACGGGTGATAATTTTAAACAAACAAAATAAAAAGCTTATACACATTATGTCAACTTCTTTTTGGAAAACATCAGCAAAAAATGTTCCTTACCAGCAATCTAATGACAGCAGAAATGAATAAGTTCTTCCATTTGAAAGTGTAATGATAGGTTCTCCTACATCGGATAATGTACATGAAACTATTTTACAATCTGTAAAGTACTCATAAAGTATCAAAGGAATCAGTACACGTTAAACGGAATGAATAGTGATATAATAAGTCGCTTTTTTATTAGCAAGGAAAAATTTCTATGTCAGAAATGAATTCTAGTTCTAAACAGATCAAATGCCTGATAAAATTATTTGATCGTCGCAGTGTTATCAAAAAATTGCGGGAACAAATATTCCTTCCAATAATTCATTTTCTATAACAAGCTAAAATTACCTTTTTCGCAAAAATCGGCGATAGATCTCCTTGACATAATACATTTCCTATTTTCTATGTTCCTGAAATGGGTCTTACCACAAATCTTGAAGTCATAAAAAAGTTGGAAAAAAAAGATTTCGAGGAAATTTTCGCAGATGTTTGTATGTCTTCTACCCCTTAAATTGATAAAAAATGAAGTCTAACCAAGAATAAACAAATCCTTGAGATGAGCAAACAGAAAGATAATTGCGATGCACTTGAATTATGAAAGGTAATGAATCGATGGTAAAGAATGTATGTAATCGACCAGAAGGTGTTGAATAAATATGGATGCTACTGTCGTAGCAACCAGCTACAAACCAGTGACTGTAACAGAACCACTTAGGAACTGTTTCCTTGAAACCTTTAGTTAATTTGAGCTAACATCTTTTCATTAGTAACATACGCTAATACTTATAGCAACAATTTATAGCATCCCGTGAAAATAATGTCATTTCTGTGCATAAGATTAAATGATTGCTTTTGCGAAATAAAAAAGTCTTTATTCAAAATCCTATCAAAGATAGAAAGTAAAAAGAATACCTGCTAGCGGCAACGGAGCAAACAACTGGATCCAAATGAGCTGTCCACAATACTGTTGCATCTTTCATACCACATAACTTCGTCAGTTTTATAGTTGCAGCAATTTCATACTCATTCAATACATCAATCCTATTTATTGAACACATCTCAGTCTGTAAATAATTATAGATATCAAGCAAATATCTTGCAAAAAACTATTTTAGCAAAAAGTAATTTAAAAAGAATTTATTTTAGAACAATTAATAAAACTGAATGATTACAGTCAATACTAATTTATGCTTTTGTGTTATAATTTTAACTTATCGTATACTTCTAAGCAAAAAATATCAGTCAGTATTTCAATCCGACAAATGCCAACTCAAGTGAAAGAAGTACTACAATCAAGTGAGTTATCGAAAGTTACCGGAGGGACAGATATCGACAATGATCGTCGTTGTTGCGGAATAGAAAAGGTAACGGAACGGTTATTATTCAACATAACTGTCAATGATTCCGGAAAAGGAGCAGGACGCAACAGTGGTTTCAATGATAAATGAGGTAGGATCTATAATAAACTGGTAATTTAGTGTCGGCAGCTACAAATTTCGTGAAATTTCTGTTAGATCACTGAAAAATTAAACCTGCTCAGTTCTAGATGACAGAGGATGCGTGTCCATTGGTTCATCAATCCTTGGCATGGCTTCTACCTTTTCAATGCTACTTAGCAAAACTCGGCCATTACTTTTGGATGGAGATGCCAAAAGATGCACAGACGAAGCTTGCGCTGGCTCATAACTGAAACAAGCAGTGTTTTTCCTTGAAGTCGATGGAAAATTTTGAGGAAAAAATTGGATTAAAATATCAGATTTATAACACTTCGACCTATTTAACGCTGGTTCGTCCACTAAAACAGGTGTTGCAGTTATTTCAGCTTCAGGAATTGTAACAGAAGCTATGAAAGAAGGCTGTATTCTTCGCTTTCCTAATTTGGTTCGAAGGTCAGTTTGTTTCATCGGCAATTCCGATGAAGTAAGCACCTTTTCCGAGCAATTAGTTTGGACTGCAAATAAAAACTAGTCCATAAATAAGATTGTCACAGTAAAAACAGAAAGCAAATTTCATTTCATCCATACTGGTAGATCATTCATGCTATTCTGAATATCTAACCACATTTTGATTCTGAGAAAAATAAATTAACTAAATAAACAATTCATCATTTTCTTCAAAAAGAAATGTGGATCGAAAAGATCGTGATGGACGAAAAGATGCCATCACACTAATACTGGTGCAGCAGAATAACCTTGTTGACAGCTGACATAAACATTTTGGATATATTTTCAATTAAAAACAAAACGAAACCTGCGTCACACGAAATTGGTATACTGACAGCGTTTTGATTGCTAGGAAGTTCTTTTATTTGTGACGAAGTGAATGAACCACTGTCGTGGATTTTTAACTGTTTCGGCTCTTGCTTTTCACTTTGAATCTTTTTTAGATCATCAACAAACATTCGACTAGAATCCTTGAATGACAACAACTGACGTCCATTATTTTGCTGATCAGAAGAATACTGCAGTGGTCGACGACTATACATTCGTTCACATAGATCACCCTTAAAAGCATCATAATCACAATAAATAGAAATCATAATTGATAAATCCCTTTCGTTCTTTTATTAGAATTATTGTATAAAACCAAAGACAAAAAATTATCTATCTTAAAAACGATGGAGATTAACTATCTTAAAGGAGTATTTAAAAATACCATTTCAGAAGAAGTAAGCAACCGCCCTAATTCCTTCGCATCGAATACAATTGATTTCACTGTTCCATCCATGGAGCAAATAGTTAGATGATAATCATTCCTGCATCATTTAAAATGGTACTTACTTCAATCGATCCTACTGGTAGTATTACAAAACGGATATTAAATAAATTTCCAGATCAAAGTAAACTTCCATCAATCAATAAATAGGTGATTTTTCAATTTCGTAAATAAAAACAGAAAAAACAAATATTTACCAGGAAAAATCAAGTATAGAATGCTTAAAAAGCTTGTACAAGACAACTAAAGGTCGATCTACATTTGGCAATAACCAAACGCTTAATGATTTGTCACGACTACCCATTGCTATACAGCTCACTTGAAGGCGATTGCCCTGCAATAAAATTTCTTTAATTTGATAGAGAACCACAGAATACAAGTCACATGTAAAGCTAAAGTACACAAAGATAAAAATAAGATAGGAAAGATAGAGACATTAAATCAATAAACCGACAATGTACAAAATAAAGAAGTAGAGTAAAAAGTATAAAAAAGCTTAAGTAAGAAAAGAAACTTATGAAATGATTCTGTAAAAAAAAATTTCAGTGCTTCTCAAATTATTAAATCAGTTTAATTTAAAAACCTTGTAGTTCTGATATTCAATCATACGAGGACAAGCCCGAACCACTGTTACAGCTTTCCGATGGCCAACTAAATCCAACGTAGTATCCCAATCCTAAATATAGATGTTAATGAATATATAAGCAATCCCTTTTTAAATAAACTTATTAAAAAAGTTAGTCCCAGTGCAAAGTAATAGTGAGAATAAATTGTGTCTGCACAAAAATTGTTCACCTTTCGTCGTATCAAGTGGGCAGTTGGCCCCGAGTTATTACTCGCACATGGCGCTATCAAATAAGTACCATCTGGTGACCAATCTAATCGACAAAACATGGTAGATTGGCTACTCTGCAGAAACATGTAATCATTTCTAGGGTTTCGAATTCCGCTTTTTTCTTTTTAATTTAAAGGACTAGAACAAATTTTCCTGCGAAAGACTATTTAAACCTAAAGCTTCACTGGAAGACTAATCGACTAACTAATGTTTCATTGTTATAAAATTCGAGAAATTCTTGTAATTTCTTTATGCATGAAGAGTTATTGCTGCAAGCTGTTAGCAATTTCTCTTTAACAAACCTCAATAAACGGATCCATTACTACTTTGATGCACTGCCAATTATCGATTGTCCAGATTCTCACAGACTTGTCAGCTGACTGAGTAGCGAGAAATTTCCCAATTGGATCCCAGCTTACTCCTTTTACAATACCCTGATGTCCACCTCGTTCGACTGTTAATGATACCACTTTGTCTGAGAATTTTGCGAACCCCACAGTTAACAAAATCAGTTAACATACAAGACAAAAGAACAAAACTCCAGAACCTTTTCAGCACAGAAATCTTTCTTAAAAAAAAAAAAAAAAGACAATGTTACAAAAATTGTTATAAAAACACATACTCGGTAAATTATGGGCATCCCAAATGATCACGGAATGATCCATCCCACAGGATGCAAGATAACGGCCATCTTTAGACCATTCAAGATGTAACACATCTAATGAATGGCCATACAGTCGATATTTTTCCCGATATTTTTCAACATTGACGGAATCCTGAAAGATGTATCATTTATAAATATAAATGTTTTGACATCTTAACTGATTCGCCTTCAAAGAAGAAGAGTGTAAAAATGATAATGCTGAAAGTTTAAAAAAAGATTTTTAAAGTATATATACCTTTTTTTTAAAGTATATATATTCAATAATTTTTTATGAATAAGTATTTTCTAAGAACACAAAAATGAATGATTTCATTGATGAAGAAATTACCTTAGAACCAATCGTTCCAGCACTGAAAACTCGGCCACCGAATTCCCAGAGTGTTAGTGATTGTTGATCACCAGCACATCCAAGATATGTTCCATCCGGAGACCAACGAACACAATTAACACAATCTAAATTAATAAAGCATTATATACAAAAATTTAATAGCTGTAATTATCACATATGAAAGCAAGGATAGCAGTAGCACGAAGATATAGTGACCTGCTAGTGTCCCCTTAGTCTCGCTTCATCGCTATCAACTTCCATACATCTCGATAAGGCTACAGACGTAAAGAAATAGGATAATGCGAGACACGTTTGGGTGAGAGCAATTAAGCAACCCTAATGAATATAGGAAGCATGACATGAAGATCTTCTAAATTACTTTGATGAAGTATTCGAGAGAGTAGTCGACTGCATGATGCCTCCTGACTAGCTTTCTCGTTAATCACTGGTTTCACATTCCAAATGATCACGAGGCCTGAACCACCTTCACCACCTTGTCCGCATGTAGCAATCTTCGTACCGTCTGGATGAATATCTACCGAGTAGATTGCACCACCTAAATTTGAAAATTATAAAAAGGAATGAAAATGTAGACTAATTAACTAAATATTTTTCTAGCAAATAGAAGCATTTGGCGAACATATGAGAACAACCATATCGATGCAGCAAGAATATAAAATTCCCAAAATCTTCAGCTTGCATGAAATTTAACCATACACTTACCTGAGTGATGAATCCATACTGGATTCGTTAACTGCATCAATTAATACCTGCCTGCACAGAACCCTTTGTAAAACAACACTTATCCGATATAATTTTTACAACTGTCTCTTCTGCTGTATGGTTTTATAAATTTAAGATTTCAGATAGCTTTCTGAAAAGCGCAAAACAAATTTTATGATAGGAATCAGCTTAGCTCTTCAAATGTAACGTCTTTTTTTTTAACAAGTATATTTTACAGCCAAGAAAACACAGAGTTTATTGGGAACTATGATTTGAACGAACTAGCGTCTACAAAAAATATAATGTCTACAGTTGAACCAATTTCATCTACTCCGATCACGCCCACCTGGCGTAATTCTAAATTCACGAAAATTAAAAATGATTGAAAACCCCAAATAATTAAAAAACTTGCCTCTATAAGTAGTAGCATACAACAGCGTTCGCCGCTACGCGTTATATCAAATTAAGTGTGAACAGTTTAAGTTACTCCAAGGTTATTCTCTTCCAACTGATCAAAAACTTTAATGGATTAATAACGAGAAAATAATGACATTTCTATAACGAGATAATGCAAAAATGAATGACAGAAGAGCTAAAGTGATGAAAAGAGCATAAAATATACAGATGAATTTCGCCATGATTATAGGAACATCTCAAGCAAACTGCGATATGATAATCTGTAAGCCGGGTTCTTCTTGTTAGAACATCAATAATCAAATAGCAATCCTGATTTAGCAAATGCTTATGGAAAAGATAGTATGAGCAAGTGTGAATATAAATACAAAAATAAATACAAAAGCACTATAACACAATCGACTTAGCTGAAACTCGAGTTAAATTCAAATTTGAAATATAAATTAATTGATAAAAGCAAGACAACTCGTAACTTGGTTTTCACAAAGAGTAATGTTAAATTCAGATAGGAAATCAAATAAATCTTAACCACCGCACGGTTTGTCGTATAATGTTTCCGTTTCTTAAAAGAGGAAAAGGCAAGTTAAAAAGCACCATGTCTTAGAGTATACCTACCACATATAAAAAGAAAAATTATGTATGAGAAAAAAGAATTTAGTTGAACAACTAAATTCGTTGAGGAAACTAGGTTTCTCGGGATGAAGAAAATCTGAAGACTTTATAATCAAATTTGAAGAACATATCAGTACATGATATGGGTGAAAACTTACTCCAGTTGATATAAAATCCAAAGCACAACAAAACGCGATCACAATTGGAATAAAAACAATAAACAAGAATGGGTCAAGAGTTTCACAGAAGTAAAGTGAACTATTCAACACATTTCATTTCATTCCTAGTATTACTTCATTGTATAAAAATTTGGTGGAAAAAACAAATGGTATTCAGAGATGAGAGAATACACAAATATTATCAGATGCAGCGTTTCATCAAATTTCTAAAAGTTCCTATTAAGGATTAAATACTAATAAAATAAAGGAACAAAAACAATCTGTTGTATTTAAAATCTTAAATAGATAAGTAGAATGTGCAAACGAATAGTGGCCAATATATATGTGAATTAGTGAACTGCTACGTTTGAGAGGAAGCAAAATAATGACAATGATAACATCAGTCTCCAATTGACTTTACATTATGCTTGACTTCGTCGCTATTGTTGAGATTTCCTTAAATTATTTTGGCGGTGATCACTGATAGAAACTGGGTTAGTTTAAGAGGTTTTCAGATTAGCACTACCTAAAGAAATGCTGCATATAGAATCGAACAAAGACGAAAATTTTTGTCAGTGAACTACAGGATATTTCTCATAATTTATTCCACCAAATAAATATAAAATGAAGTAATATCATAGTAAAAAACAAATAAATTAAAAATAAAGGAATTATATCAATGATGGTAAAAATCCTTAGTCCATTTACTGTTCAATATTTATATCCAAGGCGACCCTCCGTAATTTTTATTTTCCAGGCCTCGATTAACAAATAAATTATTAAATTGTAACAAACAATTAATAAAACCGATTCGCTGAGATTTGAACAATGCATAAGAGAAAAAAGAAAGCGAAAATTAGGTACGATGAAATTAATTTAGCGCGATGAATTAAAATATTTCGATCTCACACACCGATTGATATTATATAAATATAATATCAAGAATAACAATGGTTGAATAATAAGTAAACACTTCATGCAGATTCCTCATCTCAAAAGCATATGAAATGCATAGCAAATAATTATGCAGAAAATTACCCACCCTAGCAGAAATTAGAAATCCTTTAAGAAAAATTAAAAATTCCTGCTCAATGAAATGCAAATGAGTTCTTTAGAGTAGGTGCATCACACACTGTATCAGATTTTCTACTGCTCATGTTTATTACCCATGCTTTTCAGAATGTCATCATCTATGGTTATTCTATGTTCTCATGTTTACCCACAATTCTCGACGGTTTTTGGTTGATTATGCATCAAATGTTTCATTGATTTTAAATTCGCAAACTACATATCATATTTTTAAAAAAAGTACTGATGAGAAATTATAGATAATAAGCAATTAAGTATATAGAAATACTTCCTTCACACTAAAATATTTTTATTTTTTATTATTATCTAGATTTGTGCATGAATCTTTATACATTTTGTTCAAAGATGGAATATACAACCAGAAAGCAAGAAGATAATTTCAAACTGAAGAATTACTTATTTCGTTTCTTATCTTTTATTCCCAAAGGACAATCCATCACAAAATGTCCAACCTGTCGACATCGGTGGCAACAGTTGCGATCCAATGGAGGACCATTGCCCACACGACAGCTTGAAAGCAGGAGAGACTGAAAAAATAAACAAAAATGCGAAATTAAAATACAGAAAATCACTCCGCTAATATTTATTCCTTCATAGTACAAAAAAAAGGATTCACTAAGACACCATATTAGAAAAATTGACCTAAAAAGAGAAAGGCTTACCGCATACAGTACAAGTGAATTGTGATTTAGTTTTGAATTTGGGACGACCGATAAGGTATTAAATTTTTCCCGACTTTGTATAAATGATTTCTGTATATATGCCATTGCTGAAAGTGTATTCCTCTTCAACATATTTTTCTCTTTTAACATTCATTTTCCGATTATTTTTGTTCACTAACTTCAGAGTTAATTAAAAACTAGGAACATCATGCCATATTAACTCATGATATTATCATTTATCTTTTTAATCACTTGGAATGTAATCAGAAAACAAAGAGAAATTTCGAGGAGTTAAGTGATTTAAAGCAAATAATTATATAATAACATATTTCAATTAAGACACACAAATTATAATGAATCAGACAATAATTGATGTTTCATTCCCTTTTTTATTCTACTTAACACTTAAATTTTTCTTACTTTTGGAATGAACACCAGAGGAAAGATTATGACTGAGATCAAATGGATCTTCAATAGCGATTGGTCTGGATTGCCAGCCTTTGTCCAACTTCATTAGCGGTGGAGTTTGTCGAATTTGTACAACTTCTCGTGTAAAATCAAATTTCGTCGCGAAATAATCCAGAAAGCCTATCCACAATTCTCCAACAGTTAAGCGATTGTGGACTGTCCATTCCTAGCATAATACAATTTACAAGTAATGCAGATAAGACAGCAATATCTTTCGAGAGAAATAAAAAATAACCAAGGAAAAAATTTGAATTAAAGAAAGCGAACACGATATAAATTGAGAATTTAGTAACTAACCAAATCTTCAAAGTTACAAAAGTACACATCGCAGTTATCAATTATTATTGGTTCTCTACATCTTCCAGGCGGTGCTACCTAAAAGAAAGTCATTACAAGCAAATTAAGTAATGAATTATTGCAAAGTTCATATAACCAATATCAACAAGTATCGAAAAACAAGTACTGCCGACATAATAAAATAGAATATGAAGTTAAAAAAAAAAATAAAAGATCGAATTCGCAAAATAATGCAAAGCAAAACAAACTTCCTGGAGGAATGGAGCGACTGGTGGATCTGTTCGTTGAAGATAATGAATAAGCATGATGATATATGAATAGGATGATAGGCTTCCTTTCGATGCATTTCCAATTTCGCAGTTTTTAGCCCATATTTTAGTCATTATTCCTAACTGATGTATTCGACGATCAAGCTTACTGTACGTCCGTAGCAAGCGTGTATTCTCTAACGCTAGCACGTTATATAGCGACACACTAAAATCAATTGAAATCTAAGAAAAACTAATAAGTTATTGCAGTTAAAATATTTGAAAATACTTCAAAATAAAAAACTACGTAATAAAATCCAACAATTCTTACTAAATGTAAAATATTACATTTATCAACAGACTCGACTAGAAATACATTTTAGTCACAAATTTTAACAATTAAATGAAAAAAAGTGAGGCATGTCCTTTTTGCGTAACATAAAATACTTACTCTGCCTCAAGATTATAATGATTACGGCAACGAAACTTTACGATTGGTACTTTAGCATGTGGGATTTCGCAGACATATACAACATTAGGCATTTTACGAATCACTTCCGCTATTTTATTTATGACTTCCACCGAATCGATATCCTAAAAAAACTACATCACATCTAGTACAAAATGGTCAAATTTACGAAAATTTTCATCTGTAGTTTGAAAAACTTATCATCAAATTGAATTTCATAAATTTTTAATTATTACAATTAACATTGAAAAAACTTTGATCACACAAATAAAAAGTAACTTTAAAATTCACTTCAGGCCTCACTCCTGGTCCGAACTGAAGACAGATATCAGCATCTGAACCTAAAAGACCGAATCCATTTCCAGCTGAACCAAACAATGAAAGATGACAATCAGTACGATAAAAACGTCGAAGAAAACCTTCAAGTTCGCGGCAGAGTGCTGACATATGATGCACATAATAGGGTCTTATTCTCATTGTATCTGAAAAATATATTTATTGAAAATTACAACTCCTTCAACTTGCCAACATTCATTTCATCGAATATCTCTCTCTCTCTATTGAAAAGCACGATTTATTTCCTTCACAATATTTTTTCATCTCTATTTTTTGCTTCAAAATCATTTTACTTTCTTTTCTCATGACTTCCGTTTTTCGACTATTTGTGAAATATGGGGGTTGAATTTAGGATATAATGCATTCAGGGATGCAAACTATCTCCAAACTCTCTATATTTTGAATTTGCACCATTAGAAAAAACGGAAAGTATGCGAGAGCATGGAAAGAATGTAACTTTTTTGATGACACTCGAACAAACTAGACGGTAAAGTTTGAAAAAAGCCGCTTAAATGCAAATACGTGAACTGACGGATGGAAGTTTACCAATACACTTTTTTCAAAAACATTTAAAAACTTTTTTTTGCAAAAATATTTGAAAAGAAATACTGAAAATATCGAAGATGATAAGATTAATTATTTTCTTTTGTGCATTGGTCATTGGTGGGAAATTTTTGGGTTCTGGAATCACAAGTTCAGGACAGTTCTCACGCAAATGACCATCTGCATTACAACATGTGCACCGTGCCACTGGTTCCTGAAAAAGTAAGTCAAATATGAATTTAGAACTGTAAAGTGTGAAGCAATCCTCTGCATCAATTGTCGAAATGGAAACAAAAATAGGGGTCACAGCTTAAAAAACTTCATTTTTTTAGGTTACTTTCGCAAAATTTCAAGGTAATTTCGGTTTTCAAGCCTTCTGGATATATTCATTCCAGTTATGTTTAGTAAATTCCTTTACCACACAATCTAAACTGACATACCAATCCGCCCGTGAAGAAGTGCAAAGCCCACGGATAATCATAATCATTATTATTTAAAGTCAACCATAACTTGCGAATAGCCATTTCGTCATAATCATGAAATTTAATATTCAAAATCGAAGCATTTGCAAGCCTGTTCCCAGCCAATTCTCTTCCCTGAAATTAGTTCTAAAAATCCGATAATGAATACAGCAATTAAATTCATTTAAAAAGTTAAAAACAGAAACAAACAAGCCATTATGAAAATTATACTTCATATTCTCCCTTGATGTATAAATTTCCGCAATTTTGGACAGCAGCCGCCGACAATTTGAATGCTTTCATTCGCTGAAACAAAGCAATGATAATTTCAATGATATCTCGAATTTCAAATGGTTGTAAAAAGAAATCAAAAAAAAAAGCTTAAAAAAAAGTCAGTACGCTTTGTGCTAGTATAACAAAACATGTAAGTTAAAAAGCAACTTGCTCTGAAAAATGAGTTGAAAACAAAGAAATTTCTGGCGCCAGTCATAGAAATTTATGGTCAGTGCACAAAAATTCGAAGTTTCAAACTCACTCATAGTGAAAGTACTTCGAAGTTCCAAGATTTCAAAGAAGTGAAACCAACTGAAGGAAGCTCCTTGAAGTGGATACCATGCTGTTGGAAAGTTGACGTCACATTACGGTCGCAACACGTCTCACCAGCATCATCTCTTTGCAAATCACTATGAGACGTATGCAAATCCAGGCACGAAGTAACAGGATCAGAAAATGACATTTCTAAATCCTTGTGTTCCCCATATAGTAATGAATTTTCATCGTTCACATCCTCAAAAAATATGAAATAAAAATAACATTCTCTGAAAATCTGCTGGATATTTCTACAAGATTACTACATTCGCTGCTAAGAGACGTATTCAAATCCTATACTTTAATTATTTAAATGAATTATTAGCTAAGAAACTGTTAATAATGCAAAAATTTACTACCCCATTACAATGCCAGTTTAAAGTCTGCAGAAAAAAATTAAAGAAGAAATTCTGTTTTAACAGTTTAACGATATATGCATCACTCTCCCAATGTATGTGTAGACAGAAAATTTTCATTGTCATAATTTACTTTCGCTATCCTATTATTTCAGTAAACTAAAATTCCAAAAATATCAAAATTTATTCAATTCGTTCACTTCTCTTTCCATTTAATCTTTTTTGTGTTGCTTTATTTCTCTTTCCTTTCACAAAAAAACAAATAACTACAAGGAATTGATACTGGACAAAAAATAGCCATTTTACAACTAATCCGTAAAACTGACCATTTTCTTAAAGGAATCTGCTCTATAACAGCTTAAAACTAGGATCAAAAAATCATTTTAAGTATCAATACTATACCAATCTTTATTGTCAATTTTTGAAACAAAGCTTCTTTCAGCATAAAACTGATTTACAAAAATATCATCTTTAGTCATATTATGGCATCTAACTAAGAAAAATTCCAAAATCACCTTGTTTGTCCAGATTTGGTTCACATCTTCCAATCTAGTTTCGGTTACTTCAGAAATTCCTTGCGGGCTCACATCGGTCTCTAACCTGATAGCCTCTAGAGTTGCATCTAAAAGATTGAAATATAAAAATTAAAAAAATTATTAATCTGTGGAAACTGGTGTTGCTGCAGTTGCATCAGTTTTATTTCGAAAAGAAACCTTGATATAAATTATCGACGTCATCCAAATCACCTTTGTTTATTTGCTGATTATTATTTGCTGCAGCTTCATCAGAACAAGAACCGTTCAACAGCGTGGTTCTTCTCGACCTGTGTTTTCTTCTCTACAATGACGTTGAAATGAAAAAAAATGATTTTATTCAAATAAAAAATAAAAAGTTACATCAAATGAAAGAGTATAATACATGAAAACTACCTTTTTCGTCTGCACAGCAACAGTTCCGGGTGTTATAACGGAATATGGAATTAGCGAACAAACAATAGTGCGCGGCAAAGCAAAATGAAAATAAGTAAACAAAAAGCAACTTGAGAAATAACCATTTATGCGCTGCTGTGGTTGCATTATGTGATACGGAGCAAATGGGTCTGAAAAAAAAAAAACATAAGTCAAACTATTCTTAGATTTTTCAAAAAGTAAAAAATGATGATGGAAATAATTTCTTTCAATAGTGCAAGAACCTCTCCGTATTAGGCAAGGAGAGAAAAATATAACTGCGATGTTGTACAAATCTAGAAAATTCAGAAACCAGGATTATTTTTATCTCACTGGCTGAAATTTTACTCAATAATCAAAGTAATATAACCTTCGACGGCAAGCCGTTTTTTGCTCCAACGCGTACAGTCTTCTGACAAATATCTTTTTCTCAAACGTATTTGTATTAGTTCTTCAATAGGATGTTCAATAGCGTAATAACGGAATAAATCAATCCAAATTTCGCCGAAATTCCATTTTTCACTGCCAGTACCGAAACCAGTATTCTAAAACAGACAGCCATTTGAAAATGCATTTTACTTTACAGAATTAAAAAGAAAAAAAAAAACACACTATCTTATCCACTTGATGGTCAAAGTCGAGACTTTCACTGTCTAGCAGTAGCATTTCTTCTTCACTTAGAATCTGCAATGATCCCATTACTTGACTTATGTTAAGCACTAGATATTTGGAACTCTGAAATTATGGTAAGTTTGGATCTTCTTTCCTGCTAAACATTACTATTTTTTAATTTCTCTTGACAAAAACAAACCAATATTCATAATTTCGGGAAAAATAGAGATTTTTTGAAATAATTCATAAATATACCTCGAAGACGAAAGGAAGTAATCCCTTGCGCTGCAGATAGTAAATTAATATAATATCAAAAGCAAATTTCGGTATACCACCCAACTGTACATTGGTCAACGAACACAGCTACAAAAGTATTTAAAACCATACACAGAAATCGAATTTACTTCGGAATTTTAGTCTTCAACAAGTAGCATGATTGAGATTAAGAATGAAATATATAGATCTCAGCATTACGTGCAACCGTATGCTTTAGAGAAATGCAGAGTTCAGCTGCGCAGATGTTAAATTTATTCATCCGAGTATATGAATGTTCTGAATAAAATGAATCAATAAATACTTTTATCATTTTTTCCTAAATCCAAGATATTTCCTGAACGATTCTAAAGATAAAAATGCTAGCAAAACAAGAAATTTAGCAACATAAGAGAATAAAATCTGTTCATACGTTCGCCCATGAACGGAAGATAGTAGCGAGAATCCTGAATTGTGAACAAATTGTACAATATAAATTAACAAGCTGGGTAGCACGCTGCTGTCGAACGCAATTTGCTGTAATAACAACGGCAACGGAGTTTACAGTGCAGTGAATCGAAGGATCCGGACGTTGAAAATCAGGAGTTATAGAATGAACAGTAAAGCTTTTCTCTGAAAGAGAAAAATCCATACTTTTAATTTCAAAAAATTCGCAATTATAAATTTAAGCTATATAACTCGGGAAATTATAAAGAGTACAGAAAGTAGAAAAAAAATACCTAATGCTGTATCATTTAGAACTTCCATGACCTCTGACAATGCATGACCAAGTGAGTATTCCAGTGGAAAAATCAGTGATAAATTCAGATTGCTATGCACAGTCGCTAGCCTTGTCAGATATGAGCCATAAACCATCACCGAATAATCTGCATATTTTTGTTAAAAAAAAAAAAAAAAAAGAAATTAATGAGGAATTCGAAATCTTAAAATCTTAACAAAACCGAATGCAGATCATTCGGTTTTGTTAAGATTAATAATTCATACCACTGCACATAATCACGGTTTCAATAATTTAATGAAAACTTTTTTTATAATTTTAAGTAGAGTATCATTACAGCATAAATACAGTTATGATTTGTAATGATATATTCAACTGAATCTAAGTTGACATTAAACCATAAAAAATAAGAAAAGCATACTTCTGTGAGCTTTGTTTTGTAAAAAATCTGATAATAAATTCGCGATTTGTGACCCAACTTCACACCGTACATCCGTAAGTCCAGTGAAAATGTATAATTCTCGAATGATTTGGTCTACTTTGAACATCTGCTCCCTGACCGGACCTGGCAAACATGCCAGCTTTTTAAGCGACTCTGCCTTCTGTAACTATATTTTATTAAACTGAGAAATACGGATCCATGATTAGATGTGAATGATATATATTGGAAAAGAAATAGACTATAAAAATCTGAAAACATAGAGAAAAATCTGAAAACATTTTATATTGCATGAAAATCTTCCAGCGTGCAGCTGGATTGTTTTGAAAATTTCTTCATTAGCAGTTAAAACGCTCACTTCCTTGTTGTCAATGTGTTCTTGTGCCAAGAAATGCGTTACTGCTTGAGAAATTGAACAGATATGATACTTGCATAATTGACAGTAGTAGAGAGCTCGTGGGAAACTTGAAGATTTCTTTTTCAGCGGATAAATGTACTGCTTCTCCAAGTAAGACAAAGAGTATTTACTCACCGAATAAGATAACTTTTCGCCTAAATTAAAACACCTCTGCACTATATTCTAAACAATACCAAATATTAAAGATAGTTTAATAAACAACTGAATTTCAAACAAGCTGTACATTCACCACCATAAAACGAATCACGAGATATTCGCTCAAGTTGTTCAGCTAAGTCAATAAGCGCCGCACGTATTACTTCCACAGATGTATTCTCATGTAATACAGCTGATGCACATATCTTGTATCCACCTCGAGTGACTTGTTTAGGATCTTCCAACGGGCCACAGCATTCAAATAAAATGAGTTGAATAAAATCCTTCCCTTTTGGCTTTTCAATTTTCACCTGAAATTCAGCAAAAAACCAAACGCAAAATAAAAAGTGAAATGAAGGCCGTTAATAAATTAAAAATTTACCTCTATTTCGCCATTTTGAATAAACTTATGCGTGCCAGGGATTAAATTAAATCCATCGAAAGAATCTTTTCGAATCAAAAGTGGACCACTTCTTAATGGTACCTAAAATAATTCCAAACAAAAGAATTTATAAAGCAATGGAAAAAATGCGTAATAAGAAATTATCAAAAACAAATAGGAATTCACAACTTGGTAGTAAAATGAAAACATACTTTGGTGGTGAACTGTTTCTTCTCTTTGCAAACTACATCCAATTTCATTTGTTCCTTGTTTCTTAGAATTAGACTATTGCCTGCAACTTGAATGAGCTTTATGCTTTTAGTCAACCCCAAAAAACGTTTCTTATCGTCTAGTTTCAGAAATTAATTTTTCAGCTGAATTACTAAATGAAATAGTACCTTCATTTTCTAAAACACTGGCATTATTAGTTTTCTCAGAAACTGCATTATTTACAAGTTTGCTTCTTTCTAATTCGTTAGAAGCAGTTAAAGAATTTAGAACTGCTTTGCTGACTAGCGGTGCAGTTTGTAATTCCGTACTGAAATCATTATCCTGAAACTCAGTTCCATATGTTTAATTGCTTAGTTTTAAAAAAGTATAATTATGAACTAATGACAAAAGCATAGACAACTTATTGGACACTAAGTAGTTTGTTTCAATCACGACAACCATATAATTTGCGAGCGCCTTAGTACGAAAATTTAAAGCATTTATAAGTCGCACTGTTTTTAAAAGGTTGTAATTAATAGTATAAAGCTGTAAAATTATTGCACTTCTCCTTCGATTACTCATTCGTTCATAACTTGCAATATTTTAAAAGTTCGAAGAGCACTCATTTTCCAAATAATATTGAAGTGAGATTATTAATATTGATGGAAAATTTCACAGAACTTGAAGATAAATATTTAGGGTTATCAGTATCACCTGCCTTTTCGACTAAAGTAAATTCAGCATCATCTTCCAGATTCTCACTCCCTTCCTTACCACTTAATGATATTACATCTGGCTCATTGCATCTTGCAACAGCATTTGCATGTTCATTTACGGAAGTACTTGCAGCAAGAGTTACCAAACGAAACTGCAAATCATCTATTTTGAAAAACTTATCTACGAGTTCATAAGAAATAAAATGAAGAGACTGAGATAAGTATGCCAATAAAATGGCAAGTTTTGTTAAGAACTGAAATACGAAGTGTAAAATTATTCAAAAGTTATAGACCGAGGAATTTTTCAGCTTGTTCCTTTTGGAGCGTTTTTCGTGAGAAGAACCCAAGTCTGGATGTTCCCAAAAGTTACGAACTTCTGAATTCATTTCAGACGACATATCGTTCACTTTCCAATTCAAATGACCGTTATCCTATACATACGGCAAATTTTCATGAAACATACTGGTCACTAGAATTATAAAAAAGATTTTCTTTAAAAAAAAAAAAGATTTTCTAAAAGCTCAAAGAACTAAAATGTATCCTGATTTGATGCAGCAAGCACTTGACTATGGAAATAAAATAAAACTTACCTGAGTTGCAGACTGCATTTCCGTATGTCCAAAAACATTTTCGCGTTGGATAGACATGTTTTCAAATCTACTCAGAGATGCATCAAGCGCACTACTCGTTGCAGAAATAACTGATGTTCGCTTTTTTCGAGTCCTTTTTCGATTACTGATATTTTTCGAAATTTTCTGACTCGCCTGAAATAAACAAAGCAAATATAAAATCTAAGACATGAAAAACATAAACAATTTATTCTGTTGAGTTCAATAAGTTTTATCACTATCCTTATTTCGTAGCATAACTTTCGCCTGCAATTAATCAACAACCCTTTTCAATTTTCAGTTATCATGTTGTAATGCGGTACTTACATTTTCACTACATATTAGAAGATGGTTTTTAGAATTCGATGAATGATAGGATTAAACTGAACGATTTGTCCGTATTAAGTATATCAGTAATAAGTTACCATCCGACTCTTTTGTGAGACAATCAATGAGTCGCTATTGATCGTTGTCTTTTGTTTCTCCTTCTGATCTGCAGCAGTGCGCTTCGAATTACTCGAACCTTGTGCTATTGCAGATCCCATCTATCAACAGTCCAATTATATGTAACCCTTCACACCCTTTATGAACAAACCAAATCGCCCAAGAAAAAAGAAACGAACCTCAACTTCAGTCACCACATTATTTAATGATATTACAAACAATGCGGTCATTCAACGTAAAATCTCATCCCAAGCAGTTATTGTCCAGATTTGTTGACGGATTACTTTTACTTGGTCACAAATTCGCTTGCAATTTTATGCAAAACTTATAAAAAGGAGTTTAGATAAAAAATACAAAAGAAGCGAAACAGTTAAAGGAGATTTATTATTACGTTTAGTTAAGATAAAGTAAGCGCTTGTATGCAGTGGTATGCTCAAATCATTGCAAGTTTTCTTATTTCCATTTCTGGCTCTTGTTACCGGTCTTGTACTGGATGCTACAAATCGTCGCATCCGATTTCTCCGCATACCGGATACTATTCTCATTTTCTTATTTGCACTTGGCACAAGGTTTCATCCTTCTTCCATTCTTAAATACCCATCAAAACTAAATTGTCTCGTTGTGCATCTCTATGCAATAATACTCACGACTTATTAACATTTATTACTGTTTTGTTCTTAATGTTAACTACTTAATTAATTATGTCCCATTTCTCATTTTCCTAACTTTCCAATTAATTTTGTTTAAGCGGAAATATATTTGAAGCCCTTTTTTAAATTATTTGGCGTGATCAAAAAAGCCATAATCACGATGAAATCTTAAAATCAATGGACCTTAAGCTTCTTCGATGGAGAATAAAGAATCAAAATTGATAGATTGGAATTTGTTAAATAATGACTTAAGTTACGCAAACTTTACTTCAATGACTGCTTAATACTTCAGTTTCATTCTTCACTTATTCTTCCCAGAAAATTTGATGGCACACATCGATGAGACTTACACGTGGAAGACCGTCGAACCTGGCATTGTTGTTGGAGTACGTTTATGATATCAATTACAATCAGTGCAAACGGTGCGACACACAGAGATTCATTTTTTGAAATGGAGCAAGCAAGCAAGCTATTTCGATCAGAATTAATCTCTCATTTAGGTTCTTCTACCGTTACTTATTTTTGAATCTGCGGTGAAAAGCAATTCACATCTATTCTTTCGCAAGCAATGGCTATTATTCGCGCTGACCGCTACTGTTTATTTATTAACACTAATATTATACACTGCCTTAATGCTACCATTTCTGCGGATTATGGACAACTGGAATGTATTCACGGTTAGTATGATTATCACTGTTATGACTTACCGATCTAAATGAAAATTGAAAATTAAAATACAGATTTTAAATTTCATTCAAATCAACATCAGATGAGGTCTTTGGTACAATGTTTATAGTATTTCTGGAATGCGGCATAAAAATTATGCTGCTTAGTCTTACTCATTTCTTTCGCCATGTACGTGTACCATTCATTTACCGTGAACATCACTAGAAAATATGCAAAGTAGACTGGTTATGGCGGAATGAGTTTCACTTCATTTCGCTTCAAAGCATTTTATTGTCTGTTTTCTCTGTTTTGAATCTGACGAATTCTATGTAATTTTTCTTATTTTATAATAAATTGACACATGTTTAGACCGTCATTTTGTGAGTTTTTTTTTTTTTTAATTATCCGCTTTTAAGATCGCAAAAGTGTTTTTTTTTTTTTTTTTTTTTACTGTAAAGCATTAATAATGCAAGCTACAGAAGTCGCACTTTCAGCACGAAATATCTGACTGCAGGCTGCGGTCTATACTATCTCTTTGGCTTAGGTTATCATAACTTTGACTAATTCCTTCTAGCTAGCATCGATTGCATATATATTACCTGTGAAAACCGCGCTGATTTTCACACTTCTCTTGCGTTTAACTCATTCCAGAGTCATTTTTCGCATGTGTATGCCTCATCATCCATAAAGCATATTTGATTTGTCGTTAGTTTTCTGAATAATGATAAATTGGGGTCATATAGGTCATGCTGATGGGTGCAATTTTGGCTGCAACAGACCCTGTAGCAGTTGTCGCAATCCTGGAAGATATCGGTGCTCCGCAGCGTATCAAAATATTGGTAGAGGGTGAATCATTACTCAATGATGGTCTAGCCATTTTTGTCTACCAAATTCTCCGCAATTTTGTTTTGGTAGTTCTTTTCTGTTCATAATTTTCTTGCCATGGAGTATTGTTAGTAACGTATACGTGTCTTTCCACACAGTTTTACGGAATCCCAATCCCGATGAATCAGTATTTGACAATAAAAATATCCAAGCATCAATTGATTCGTGCAAGTTTTAGTTTAAACTCTTCCTTGATTTCAGAAGGAAGTAAATTTACCATCTTACCCGTATACTTTTGTACATTATGCAGCGATGTGCGTAAGCTGTATCGTAATTTCGCCGTTGTTGGGGTATACTAGTGCTCATATTACTGTTATGATCATACGACATGGTATTAATGAGGAGAAAAGAATTCAGGTTATTCATTATTCCTTCTTCCCTCTTACTTTTTGCAGTTTTAACACTGCTAATTGCTATGATTGCACCAAATATTCCTTTTGCCAATTTCCGTTGGATTCTTGGACGATATTTTAGGAATTTCTGTAGTTCGAGAACTAACGCAAAGTTTTCTTTCCTGAATTGGAACCACTTTGAATTTAAGTGCAATTTGTGTTCTCCACAATGCAAGAGATTTTTTTTTTCCTTTGATGATTCTTGCTTAAAACTTTTACAGTTTTAGATGTTTTTGGTAATTTCCGTATACTTTGTATGGCAGTTGGGTGAAGTAACCAAAGGATCGGCCGCTGTAGCCACCGTCTTTTACGGTGTTACACTGAACTATCTTAGGTGATTTTTATTGTTTTGCAACACAAGGGTCTTGAAATCATGATCAGGCCGATAAAGTTCGTATGAAAAAAAATGGTGCGAAGTATAATCTTTAACTATTTACCGATCTTATACCATTTCGTTTTATCATATTGCACCGATTTGTAGAGAACGATTAAATCCCAGAAGTGTAGAATTGACTTTACAAATTTGGACAGCATTTGGATATTGGGCTAACTGCATTGTATTTATGTTCAGTGGCTATGCCATTGGTCTGCTGCTCTTCAATAATCCAGTTGAAGTGAATTCTTATATGTTTTTTTTAGACATCATAACCATCATTTAAGGTTTGATTGATTGATAATCCTTGAAGCCTGTAGTTCTTTTTGATGGTTAGATGATAAATTCAGAAGCTCAGAAAACGAATCGTTGAAGTATGCTATGTTTAGATTGATGTAATTTATCATTTAATCTCCGGTGTGCTGTTATTTCCCGTATCATTGATGGCTCGTATGTTGGCATTACTTGTGTTTCGTGAAGTATGGAATGCACTGGGTAGTTCTCATATTGTCTATGATACCGATTACGTTCTTTTGGCGTATGGCGGCCTGAAGGGAGCGTTGGCACTCCTATTGGTACATGAATTTACTGAAAGTGTTCAGTACGACCCGTATGCTCGTCGAGTTGGCGAAAAAGTGGTACTTTATGCGAGTTCTGCCGTTTTCGTTTGTTTGGTGATTCAGGTAGTCACTGCTGATATCACTGTATCCTCATCTGTCATTCTTTATAGCACCATTATAATAAATTTATAGAAAGCTCTAAGCATAGCAAGCAGTTTTCTTGATAAGTGACTAAACGCTCCTATACGAAATGGTTAGTGTTGATTGTCTCATAAAATGTTGGAAAATTGTAGGGAATGACATTTTCCTATGTTACGAATCGTGAAGGCACAAATCGCCGATCACGTTACATTAAAGATTCAGAGAAGAACGTAGAACGACATTTAAATCGTACTCTACGTACGAATATAAAAGCAATGCGTCGGCAAGCTGACTCTTATCTTACAGAGGCTAATTGGACCGTTGTTAATGAGCAGATCGAAGCTAATGTCTTCAAAGTAATTTAATTTTTAAGTGTCATTTTTTTAGGTATTTTCTTTGAATATTAGAATACTTCTTCTTCGAAGTAAAGTTTTTTCTTTGATTCATTGATTCACTGGTTATCGCAATTCTAGAAGAAGTAACTGATCATAATTTGGTGATTTTAGGGCTTTGCGAGTAATGTAGGACAATATTCACGGGTGCAAACTAGCATGTATGATGAATCAGTGAAAAGTATTGACAGTCAGTCGGTGGACGAGTCACTTCTTATAGTATCTTATCTATTTCCATTTTTTACTCCTTTGTTCGCATGACGAGAGTTGTTTTTACTCTCATACTTGACTATAAACTATCACATTGTTTCTTTACATAATAGCTTTCACGACTGAAATTAAATGTTAAAGTAAAAATGGATCGGATTTTCTGAACTACAGAAGAAAGACGACAGTGACGTTTGTACTGGTTACTATAGTATTCTTCTTGCTCGAGTATACAGCCTTTGGACTTTGGGTGCGATTTCTGGACGTGCAGCACATTTAGTAATCGACCTCCTGGAACATGGTGTTGATGAAGGAAAGTTAACATTGGATGACTTTTGTGAACATTTGAATTCAGCTGATAACAAGTGGTACCATCACGTGGAGTTAAGGATCCTAACAGTGTTGAGGGTTATGTCTTTAAAAATTACTTTGAAAGGGAGATTATTCTTTACACTTCAAAGCAGCGTTTAATGGAACATTATTTTAAATTTAATAAGATATCTTAAAGTCAACATAAGAATTTCTTTCCATTGAACGGTTTATCATTATATTCAGTTACAAATATCTTAAAATATATGAAAATATATATATGACCTTTCAAATTTGTAGTATTGGATTGATACGGACACAAAACTGAATCGTCTAAACTGGATGGGTATTCCATTCTTGCCTTATCCAATTCCTACTAATATTTCCGTTTTAAAACCGGTTCGGTCTCTGGAATGGTATGTATTCAAAGAAGAAGCAACTACCCACGTTCTTTTTTTGCATTAAATTAATGATTATTATTATTAATTAATTGATACATTTACCTCCATAAACATGTCCGAGTATTATAGGTTGCTCCATCAACAGTATCATTCTCGTTTTGCATCCTTTCTGATTCAATTTTTTTACTTGAAGGTGGTGCATATTTTCTACATTTTTGGCTATCATCCAGTCTGTCTTGATTGCATTTGTCATTTTCTGGCAGCCAGCAGTCGGGACTGATGTTAGCTATTCAGTCCTGATGTTCACATTCCTGATTGCGTTCATTTTTTTTGTTGAAGAAGTGGTACATTTTCATCGATTACGGAAACCAGCATATCGAATGGTTGGTTAGCGATCCAAGTTATTTGTCAATTTTTTATGCCAACTGTTTGTACCCAACCAGCATACAAGCGTAGATAAATGTTGAGAATACATAAAAGATTGGTGCGGTAAATGAGAATTGTGTAAATAGCGAGTCTTCGGAAACATTTCCGAAAATAGCAAAATATGCACAAATTTTGAAAGCTGTTCAGTGAGTGGTGTTAACTTTTCAAAATAAGTTTTCAGCTTCTTTAGGAATTAGATCGTCTGGATATGCGCTGTTTTCAAAGCATGAATCGGATTACTATCGAATTCGCTCTTTTTCTTGTTTATATGTCACTAATTGTCGGAATTTGCATCGTTCTTTCGGTAATATTGGCCAAATATCCGAACGGTTCATGCATACGAGACAATGGACAGTGGAGAATATTGTGTCAGTACCGTCATTTCATTTTACCTTTCCAGCTTTTTTAAGTTGCTCTGAATCCAAAGAAAAACAAGGCATACAATTTGATAAAACCATGAAATTTTATTCTTTAAGAGTTTCGTTATTTTCTGCACAGAAAATCCGATATTTTGATAACTTTAGTTTCAATGTTTTTCTTCAATGTTTTTTCAAACCCATATTTATCACTTAATTTATATTTAGAGAATTGTTTTATAGTTTCAAAAAGATCATTTCAAAATCTTGACATCTTGAAATCTTATTTCTTTCCCTTCTTTTCATTCTCTTATTTTCAGCTGTGTGCAACACGATGCGTTTTATACTTCTTTTATTTATGGTATTTTTGACACTTTTAAAAATCCTGCGCATCACACCACTGTTTATTTTCACGCTTCATGAGGCACTGTATACTGCTAGCGTATGTGTCTTCATATCCACTTCTATATAGTTGCTTTCATTACTTTATATTTTATGCCATATTAACTTTATTTCAGCTCCTACGTATACGTATTCAGCTCTCGGCACTTTATTTTCTTCAGTTCTTGCTCAGTCAACCGCCAGCGAAATTTACCTTTTTCCCGGGTGATTCCTATCAGGTAGCATTAGGAGAACAGAAAAATTTAAATAAAATTGTGGATGCTCTGATTCGAAAAGCGATGAAAAAAAACAAAGAAGTGCTTGACCTAATTACTGTTATCAAAACCAAACAAGCCATCCGAATGGCTGCACAAACGCTGGAACATACTATTATTGATTTGCAAAAGTTAGTAGAAGTTATTGTTCAAATGCATTCGTAAACCCATTATTTTTTTTGCTTTAGGTTCTAAATATTAGTATCCTAATATTATAAATTATCTAAATAACTTTGCTTAAATGACTTCTTTCCGTCAAATTGATTACAATTCCAGAATTTAAAGTATTTAGTGCAAAAGCTATTTTCATTTTAGGCAGGGATTTTTGCATCACGAATCGGTACAACAATGGGAGCGTTCTTTGAATCGTTTGCGTGATCGTGGTGAGCGTTTAATTAATTCTCCGGATCCCAGCTTTCAGGATGCTCTGGAATCTGTTCATTGGATTCAGGCTATCGATAATCAGAAAAGGCAGGACTTAGTGGATAAATTGGTCAAATATCTTGAAACACAATCTGGAATTGAACAGTCAGGTGGCCAGTTAGTCCAAACGTTCGGAAAGACGATGTACTTTATCCGAAAGGGCATTTGCAAGTTAGTCATTTGTCTTTGACCACAAGATATCTTTTTAGGAAATTTATTTGTTCCATTTCTTTTTTGCAAGCTCTCAAACTTCTATTTTTGGTTTCAAATGCGAGTACGATTGTGAGGCTAATATAAATATGATTGTTACTAATGATAAATACAACTACTAATTACAGAGTAACTGAAATGACATTATCGAGGCGGGGGAAAGAGCACAAGCACGATTATTATGTATATCAGGGGCGCTTTGTTGGAGAGCGAAATTTGTTGGACAAAAATGATTTCGTTTGTTTTCTTCTGATTGCCAGAAATTTTTCACTACTTTAGAATTCCGATGAAAAAAAGTAATAAATCTAATGTAATCCTCAAAAAATATGATAAATGGATATGTAAAAATATCACTGAAAAATGGCTTTGTTGTTAGGAAATTTTCCAAGCTTTTTAGCAATATATCTAATTTGATCTTATTGTTTAAGCGACGTGAATCCGTGAAAAAACCAAAAGTTGAATACCGGACATCAACCGACTGCATTTTGATCAAGATTGATGAAGATACAATGGATATGGTTCGGTCATTTGATAGCTCAATCATTAGGACAATATCGCGAAAGGAGCAAACACGACGACTTATATATGAACTAAAGGAACAACATGAGTCGTTTGTATTTACTTTCTTAGATACAATTTCAAATTTATATTGGGTATTCATATATATTTTGTATTCATATACTATTCGCATACAGTTTCAAATTTCTATTCATGTACGCTGGTTGGAAGTAGATAGATTTTTAGAATATATCTAAAATAATCAGAACTGAATTTACAAAAATTTGCATATTAAATTAATTGAAATTAAAATAATGTTAATGGTATTACTGCAGTTTTGCTTTAATAACTTTGGATGAATTCGAAAAATTATACACAAGACATGGATATTCCGTGGGTGGTCGAGTAGACGTTGAAGTTGGAATTGGAAGGAAGCTTATTATCGGATTCCGAGCAATGATGGTTGCCTTGAAACCTTCAACGAGTTTGGATGATCATTATCATATTCTGGGACCAGCTGTTGTAACGCTGAAACCTGTTGGTGAAGATGTAAGGTTTCTTTTATTCTTAAAAATGTAGCTAGGAATTTGAAATGGAATATAGAGTATGAATGATTAAACGTTAAAAAGTTAAACCATTGAAAATCCGAAAAATGAGTACATTTTTTAGGAAGGAATGTCTGTTCTTATTGATAATGAGCGAAGTGCCGATCAGCCGACCCTAGATGTAGAAAGTAATATATCATTAGAAACTGGAACGGAAGAGCCGGACAAAATTTTATCAAGGAAAAAAGTTAATGCTAAAATATGTTTTCTTGAACGTTTCATCCATGTTTTATGAGATTTTTAGCAGTTGAAATTTTATAATTCTAATAAATTTAATAATTTTAAGAAAATTACTAAGAAAAATAGTTACCAAATTTACAGGGCAGTATTAAAAAGAAAATATTGTCAACAACTTCAAGGACCGCGGTAATAGTTCACATTCAAGTGCATTCAGTTAACTTTTGTTTATGAAATACGGATTATACATTTGCTCTAGAATTGAAGACTTATTTTAATAGCAACAAAAATTTTTTTTTATTGATTTTCATAAAACTAAACTGCTTTATTTAGCAAACACTCCCAATCCTTTTGGAGAAGACCAAATCATCGTTTGGTGAGCTAGAAAAGGTAAAAATGGAATTAACTGAGTCTGTTTTTGCTTTTGCTTATTGCACTTCATGCTACTTAATTATTCGGTATCACCAAATTGTTGAAATAAATGATTAAATCAATGTTAGCAGACAAGCATTTAAAGAAATATTGAACTAAATCAGTGACTAAATTAAGGTTAGTGCACAGATGTCCAAAGCTGGCACATTGTACAAATAAGCTCAAAGTTGACAAAAGATTGGCTTGCATGCACAGAAGGATTGTGATTATTACATCTTCAGATATGACTTATTTCAGGGTAAAATAGAAGCAAAAAAATTACGGCCAAGTTCAGAACGGACTCAACTGACAAGGAGGACTGAATCAAAACCTTTAAAACCATCATCACTAGATGTAACAGAAAAGAAGACATTAGAAACACAGTCGGATGAGGAAGATGAAGACCAAGAACAGAAAGATTCGGAAACCACCGCAAAACTGAGGAAAAAGACGGAAAAATATTTGGAAATCGAGCGCACTCAGACACATTCACAACAGTCCTACGTCACAAGTATCACAAGCGTTAAAAGTTCCAATAGTGAAGGTACTACTAACTCTAATTTCAGTGGTTAAGCACTTAATTATTACAAGAACTGTTGCAAAAACATTGATGTTTGAGCAATTTAAAAATCACCGAACAAATTGTTGCAATATTTTTTGTGTTGGTGCTAATTAATCATCCAATTATTTCTATACTTTTCACTCTTCAATTCTTTTTTTTTTTGTCATTTACTAAACTTTTCTTATATCTTAAACCAATACTGGTTCATGTGTTCAAAATCATATATCATTTCTAACATGCTAAAATATACATAGATCTATTTTTGAGTTTTCCTTTTTTTCAGCGCCAGCAAAGTGATCAAAATAAACCGAAGAATTTTGCATTTTTGTATATATTTTAAAGTATCATTTTTAGAAAAATTGTTGCTGTGCTGAAGTTCCAAATCATATTCAATTATTTTTCTCTGTTTCACATTTTTATCTATAGATGGAAACTGTAACAATTAACATAGTAAATTTCTAAAGTACCGCAATTCAGCTGATTCTCTTACAATTGATTTCGTTATGACATCTAAGGTTACCAATGTGAAATTTCTCACCAAATTCCCCTTTATCATGAGCTCATTATTTAATGAACAAAGTTAGAGTTCATTCGTAACATTCCTTATTAACAATAAAAATTCAACAATTTTAAAATGTGAAGTTGTAAACATTGTTATGGTGGAGCTCCATATAATAAAAGACATTGAAAGAAATTTAGGTGAAACGGTATTCTCAGTTCACTGCATGAGTAGGAAGAACAACGGGGCAGTTTAAAATTTAATATGCAAAATACAATAGTATTATACAAAGTTATACATTAATGTCAGCTTATTAGTTGGTCTTTAATCTAGATCTAGACGACAAGAAATCAAAAGTCAAGAATTGTTGTATGTGAAATTATGACAGTTACGGGCATTTTCTTCCCCACTGAGTTCTTCGAAATCATCTTACGATAAAGATGGAATTAAACATTGCAAAAAAAATAAAAATAAGCTGTACAGAATCACTGGACTTCATTGAACTGAATTTTGAAGTGATAATTATGAATGCCAGTCGAAAATGATTGTATTCAATAACCCGATTGCATTAAATCTTTCCATTAAAGTGAAAACTTATCCAGTATTTCGGGAAGGAGTTATTCAAGTCATTATTTTAAAGAAAAACATTTGATTTTTCTTGTTTAATCTTAATTTATATTTAGGCTCGAACTATATTTACTCTTATGACTTCATCGCAACGTAAGCACTACTTAAAGTACACTTAATTACAGGGAACGATATCATGGAATTCCTAGAGCGTACTCAAATTCATTTTTATTTTATGTTCACTCGATGCCATTTGCAGTCTAATTGGGTAGATTCCAATTGATTCAAATCAGTTTCCTCATGAATCTTGTCTATTCGATAAAATTTTTGGATACGACCAATGTCCACCATAACTATCAGATGTCAGTTGATATCTTTCCCATTCAGACACATAAAGTCGGAAGCAATCCAAACGTCTGATACCGATTGTCATATCATCTTCATATTTATGTAATCGTTGAATAGCAAAGTTTGGTAAGCAAAAGTCATAGCAATTCGAGCAGCTTGAATCTGAAATATGCATGATATTGTTAGAGTACTAACCTATAAATGTAATAAAGAGCATAATTATATATAATGAGAATTAGCAAATATCTCAATTAAGCGCTTCAACAACAAGTAATACCAGTATTAAAGGTTAAAAGTTCTGAACTAACCTCTTGTATAGACCGTATGTTTCAGCAAGTACCATTTTGCACTTTGACAATTATCGATTTCATTTGTAAATTTACGTTTTGCACTTTTAGCATCTATTGCTTCTGCATGGTACTGCCAATATTCTTGCCATCCGTATTCCGAATAAATCTTAATGCTCAGCCGGAGGTTTCAAAATGATGAGATTTATAAGCAATAGCAACATTTGGTAAACAAATTTAAGAGCCGCGACGTTTTTTGTTACAATGTTGTTTGCATTATTCAAAATCTATGAGCTTTTGTAAATTGGAAATTAGACAAAAATTGAATAGTCGGCATGCTACCTCAGACGTTACAGATGAAAGTGCATCACGAAGAGCTGAGATATTTGGAATAGCGGACCGGTCAAGAGGTATCAAGAAACATACAATCTGTTTGCCAGAACTGTCAATCAACGCATGATCCGCTATTGCTACGTAACCCTGCAAATTTCAAATGCTGCTACCAAGAAACAGAAATGATGTTAATTTAAAAATTTCCTGTGGAATATTGACAATAAACTAAAGAGTTAAACTGTTCAGTTTTTTTTTTTTTTTTTTCTTTTTGTGAATCCTAGCCTGTAGATAAGGATAAAAGAATGTCGATAGAGATGTAAATAAAAATAAAAGAAATGTAGATAAGAAATAAATAAAAGTACCGTTTCGAAATCGATAACACTGAGTGAATTACTTCTGAACGGTAAATTACCGATCAGCTCGAAGTGAACTTGTGATGAACTGTAAAAGATAATATTAAGTAGGCTGGGAATCTGGTTGTAAACGCCATCCTGGACAAGACGATGACACTTTTTACATATTGGTGGATATAGAGATAATGTCCGTACCTAAAGGCCAATTTTTTACAAAGAAAGTCATACAGAACTGATCTATTTAGACTTATAACAAATTTATTACAGAAGCTCATTGTGAACATCTAATAGTATTTTATATTTAGGAGATCATTAAAAGTTGGTATTTCGACAGAAAGACTTCAAACACCAATTGCAAAAATTTTCTAACTTCAAAATTATTTCTTAAAGACTTTAAAAAACATTTCAAAATTTAAATAATCATTCATAATATTGATAAGTATCTAGAAAGCAGAAATGAGCCTCTTTATTAGCCTCAAAAATATAGCCTTCATTACCAACCAGTGGTAACACTTACCGAATAAGAGCCAAATAAAGCGTTAAGAACAATACCAAGCAAAATAAAAAATAAAGTGATAAGAAGCAAAAATAACAATAAAAAACAAATTAAGCGAGGCGTCCATGTCGTATTCCTGAAATTTTCTTTCCGACACTTAAAACATTCACAAGAATTGCTTCAGAATAATTTTCAATTTTTCACTTTACATGAAAAGAGGTAGGTAGTGATACTTTGGTAATCATTACGGTATATAACACTTATGACGTACAGAAAAGATACCTTAAAGAGATCCATGTGCATTTCTACTTCCATTAGCTTCAATTTCCATTTGACGACTATTTGCTATCTCGAGATGTAAGGACTGAATTTTGTAAGGAGTAAATGATTTCCCAAACTTATTCCCGGTTTCTGAGATTATTAAAATAAGGCTCACAATTTGCTGAGAATTGCAATAACTTAGAAAACCTTGCTCTGGAGATAATTTTCCTTATGAATTGTATCATTTGTTCCCATAGTGTGATCATTTCTTCGGATGATTGCGAATGCGATTTTATAAAATCAGCGATTAATGAGGCATCCGACCGAGGCTGTAATTCGGAATTATCATGAAAATTTAAATGCTTTAAGGTTGATATATTTTCCCTTCATTAAAATTGGCAATTCCTTAGCACATGTTTCAACTCACCGCATAAACATCAGTCGGATCATCTTGTTGTCCCATTTGCATACGCTTGTAACTATCCTTTCGCGACAGTTTACTAAAATAGGCCACACTTCCAGATTTAGATTAAATTGAATGAGAACAAGATAAAGTTAAACATCAAACGATGATCAGGAAAGGCAGATCTTTAAATTTTGCATAGAAGTGCTATGATTTATTTATATATATTGTTAAATATTGTAATCTTCTGTGGAGCAAATCTAAATTTACTTAGGAGGTAATAAGCATAAAAAGAGCAAATTCTATTAAATATTTTGGCGGAAATAATAAAAGACGATTAGAAAGTGGTTTCCACCATGCCTTCTTTAGTTACTCTCTGCTCTAAGTTCGAATCTTTGCAACTAATTAACTAATTTTTGTAACTAATTAGTAAGCGAACCTTTCTGCCGGTAGAGTATCGGTATCTTGCCAGGTTTTCGTTCTCTCAGTGGGTGTTAAAGGAAGTGTATAAACAGTTTGCCGATGATGATCAATTGCAGCACCAATTTCATTAGCAGTTGACCTAAATGACAATTCTCATTTTGAGAGGAAGTATTTCAGATTACAGTTTGGTGTGAAAATACAAGCAACCTTGCTGAGTGAAGGAAGCCGACTTCTTTGTGACTAGATTTGAGAGGTGAGGAGATTCTTGAAGGCTTTCCTGCAGTTCGTTCCTGAATCAGTGTTGTCCGCTGATGTTCAACACTTCTATCAGTAAGCATCTGCTGCTGCTGATCTGGGCTCCGCTCTGTGTGCTGCATTCCGGATCCATCATCGTTGATAAGGCCTGTCCCATGCGTTTGCACTATTCTTGCACCGCCCTCTGTAATAATAACTGTAGTCGAATTGAAGTGGGAGGGATTTGAGCAACAACTCAATATTGTTTACAATGATTAAGAATGTTAAATTTGATTTGTTGCAAAATATTTACATAGCTAAAAAACAAAAACTAATCTGTGATAATTAGAATTCAAAGCTTTAAATTTAAATGAGTAAGCGTTGCGAACTGACCTGACGTATGAACTTCGTGAACATCGTATCCATAGGAATAAATATTTGCCATGGAACGATCTAGATTATCTGATAATTTGAGGTATGGTATGGATACGTTTACTGAATCCGTTTGACCAACCGGAGGCATCCCTATAATTAATTATTCTAATAGATCGATCCTCCTCACTCCTTTTCATCTTACTTTTTAAATCAATAAACATGCTCTTTATTAATTTATTAATAATATGCTCAGGCCTTTTTTTATTTAATTAATAACTTTGTATTTATACATGATTAAAAGGAAGGATTGGTTAGCAGCAGCAACATTAAGGTTTAAGTTAAATTTTCAGAACTATACTGGACTCATAACTGATCAGATAAAGTCTCATATATTCCATTTCCTTTGTAAACAGAAATTCAGGAGAAAGCTAAAGAAACAAATAAGGAAAAAGAGTAAGTAGTAGTATCTAAGACTATGACAGAGCAGTTGCAGAAGAGAAAACCAAAGTTTAGAATTTTCAACAAACGCTCTTCCACTGCTTTATTCACGGCGTTGCTTTTTAACCTAATTCTCTCTTATGATTTAAATTAATTAACAAATATATGAGAATCTAAAGAATTATAAGTAATGAACACATGAAATAATCTATAAATACCAATATAAATCCAAACTATTGAAATTTTGGACTTCGTCCATATCACCCCTTGCTCTTCAAACAAACCGATGTTATAGAAGGCGATAAGCACATATAAATTTTACTTAAAAGTTTTACTTATTAGTAAAATATTAAACAATGACAACAAGAAGGTATGAAATTCTCTCATAATGTCAACTTTGTAGATTTGTAAAATGAATAGTTAGTATAGTCACTGTAGTTTCATGAATAGATTTTTTATTTTATTAATGTGTTTTAAAAGAAAGTTTTGATATGAGTTTTGATGTGATAATATTATCAATCCCACAAATTTCCGTAAATCTCTAAAATAGCCAAACGAGAACTTTATAAAATTTTCAGTGAGCTCTTCAATTTAATTCAAATGGATGCCAAAAGATACTGAATGCTTTTTTTGAACATAGCAATTTTATGTTGAATTGCAAATTTATTTATTTATTGCTAAGAAGCTTAAAAATTATAGCAAAACATTTAAAATCCAAGTACGCAAAATTGACATCCATTTGGAGGATAAATTAAAATGACAATACGGTTGATTATTTGTTTATATAGCAATGAGGTATTTAATGTTATTTATATTTGCAATAACAGAAAGTACTACTAATAATACCTGATGTTTGCAAGAAGGATGCATCTCTGCTGCAGTCTCTTTCACCGGTTGCATAGAATCTGGAAGCGATAATAGATAACAAAGAATTGGAAGTTGAATTTGAAGGGAAGATGTAGTAATTTGAAGCGATAGAGACAGTTGGATAAAAATTTCCAATCTATATTATAAACTGTGTTTTAAGGATAATCCATCTAAGAAAAAGCAGTAAAGGAACGAACCTTCGCTCTGCTTCAGTATTAAGTGCAGATGAAGGTGCTTGTAAAAAGTTTCGTGATGTACGGTAGAAATCATGAATCGGTAATTCCTCATTGTATCGTTGTTCAACTGTTTCCGTTAGAATTTCTTGAAGGGGAATACGTGAATCACTGGTGCTGGCGCCAGTAGTTCGACGTGATTCGGTCACATAATGCTCAATAATTTCCTTTTGCTCAATTTTCTTCGCCAGAGACTCATAGTCCATCTAGAAAAAGAACAAATTATGTACGAAAAAAACAAAAAATATATTCTACGGTATCGAAGCAAGGTCAGAAGTAAAATAGCAAATGAAGAAATGGTATTTGATAATGAAGTCATTCTAATTTATTCATACAATTTATAAGATTATTTAGGATAAATTATTAGTAAGTGCATTATCATTTTGTTACCCAGAAAAATCGATCGTGTAATTGATTTATTTATACGGCCAAGTAAAAGAAATCGACTGATTAAAATTTTGAAAAAGTAGAAAATGGTGACAGTGTGCCTATAGTTCTTCTTCGAAATGATTTATGGTGCGGAGGGATATTCAATATGATTGATAAAGGAAGGAAATAAGTAGGAGTGAGACAGGTATGCAAAATGCACAGGTTGGATTAGTGAAAAAGTAATTTTTCAGACAGTTCGGATTAAAATACACAGCAAAATTATTTGGCTCTCAGTTTGTTTGCTGTGAATGGTATCGATTTCTTATTAAAAAAATATTGAAGTATGACGATCATTTTGTTGACAACAAATCAGAATTTGAAGAACGATTCGCTTCTGAACATAGAACAATGCTAATTTATTTTATAATCAAGTGGGTATTTGAGTGATTATCGATAAGCAGAATCCAATTTGTAATCTTAAATTCAAGTCACTTGTGAAGTAAAATTGAACACAAACTTTGATCTAGTTCATGCATTGGTCATCGTAAAAAAGTATCACTATGCTGCCCTCTTTGAACAAAATGATTTAAATAGAACTGTAGGTGAATCTCGTTGCTTCAGTGTAGCATTTTAGAAATAAATTCAATTCAAGTCAGTTATTATCTAACTGAGGTGATAACAACTGTAACGATATCACACATAAAAGCAATGATATATATATATATATATTTGTTATTGGGATAAAAACTGATCATTCAACAATGCGCTAAAGGAATCGTGATTTTCTAATTTGTAATGATTTTTGTTAGATTAGTGTTAATTTGCCAGAATTTTTCTTACGTTAATATATTAATTTTGTGATCGTAATAACTCGAATAACTTTTGGCGCATTTGTATAGCTAATGCAATCGAACAAATCTTGAATTTCAAGTTTTGCAGGCTGACTCTTATAAAATCCTAGAATATTCATTTGTTTGAGCAATTCAAAATCTCCATTTCTTTAAAAATTTTTTATATGCAGACTTTTTAATTTAAGCGAAAAAGATGAAATGAAGGATTCTAAATTTTGGAAGAAAAAATTTGCAGAAAATCTTCGTCCGTCCGATAGCTATGCGCTGTCATTATTCCTGTCATCATTCCCGTGGAAATATTTACTTCATAAAAAATTTTCTGAATGAATATGACTCAAAATACAATTAATAAAAGGACACCGCTCAAAATATTATTAATCCTTAAAGTTCAAAGCTATCTTTTTCGGTTAGTCAAAAAATCTTTCATACGGTGATCAAATGACTGGTAGTGTGTATGTGTGTGTGTGTGTATGTGTGTGTGTGTGTGTGTGTGTGTGTGTGTGTGTGTGTGTGTGTGTGTGTGTGTGTGTGTGTGTGTGTGTGTGTGTGTGTGTGTGTGTGTGTGTGTGTGTGTGTGTGTGTGTGTGTGTGTGTGTGTGTGTGTGTGTGTGTGTGTGTGTGTGTGTGTGTGTGTGCGTAGTTTTAGCGATGTAATAAATCTGTATTCTTAGTATCACTATCAATAATAAGAGTGCTAGCCTGAAACATGGATGCCAATACTGAAGTCATTATTACGTGGACATATCACTGTAAGTACCCATTTCAGAAAATATGTAATTACTCTTTAAAGGGTCACTGAGAGAAAATTTTTGAAGAGAAAATAATTCAAAAAATTAGGAAAGGGTATGTCAGCATAATAACCTAACAGCAATACTTTTGCAACATTTTAGTATCGAGGAGTGCAACGACAGTGACATGTAGAGAATATCCAGTAGTATAGAAAGATAGTTCGGGAAATGAAGTCTAAATTTCGAAAGATTGAAGTATCAAGTAATTCTTGAAATAGAAAACAGTTACATAATAGATTAAGAAGAAAAAAGGTATACTGCACAATGAATACTTTTTTTTTTTTTAAGTGTGGTAAAGTTTTGATGAAATTGTTGATGAATGATGATACTCGAACTGAGCAATATAAGAATCAGTATATAGAATCGGAACGTTACGTGAGGTCACGGGAGATACTTGTTGAACATAAAAAAGAAAGAAATTTCTGCAAGAGGGAAGATGAAGGAAAACAAAATAGTTAGCAGTTCCTAGAAGAAGTAGCACTTCTTAATGGAAAATTTCGATTTTAAAGAGTTATAAACCGAAAAGCGAAGAGAAACCTATTTGAGCTTATGTGAAAAATTAAATGTTGAATTTATGTAAAAAAAAATTAAAGTAAACAAGTTTAGCCAATGGATGTGGTAAATCTAATCAAAAAAGTTTGCTTTCTAAGCGTGTTATAGCAGTGACTGCTTGAAGTCTACATGGATAGCAATATGGTATAACTTCACTTCACTGAACCAAGGGCAACTGATTTCCAGTTTAACATTAGTATTAACAAAGTTAATATGTGAAGAGCAGCCTGTTACACACGTTATGAAACATAAATATCAGCACCAAATATTTACCAAATACATTTTAAAGTTAATCAAGAAAAAGTAGCGTTTGTAAGGACACTGTGAGGAAATCGAAAAAGTAATAATACCAAAGTTGAAATGTTCAAAGTTAGTGTGTTGTAGCAATAAATGCGACAATAAAATGCGATACATACTGACCCAAGGAAAGTTAAAATTTCCGAGGATGAGATAGAGCAATAATTCTCAAGAATTCCTGAACAAAACTGGTCATACTGGAGGTACTAAAACATGTTAAAAGTAGTATGTTGTAAAATGATAAAAAAGTTTTCGTCACCAGCAATTCTGGATCAATGTGAATGAAAATGATGATCGCATGAAAAACTAGAAAGCAAACGTGCGTGAAGATGCTTTGAATCGTTAACAGCTTAATTTACATAAGCACTAAAGTTGATAAGTGTAAAAAAAGCTCAAAAAGATTGGAAATAATAACTCAGGAATTATATGATTTGTATCGAATTTCCCTTTGTTCGACATAAACGGATTTGAAATTTCTTTTGAAAGATAAAATTAGTAAGCTATGGGCTGAAATTAAGGTGAAATTGGTGTAAAAAATTTAAATTGCACTACCTGCGCTTTTCATTTCGTTCTTGATACTCTTTATACATTATGTCTAAAGAAATAACAAAAAATAAATAAATAAATTCTCTTTCATAAAGGGAACTTATTTGAACATAGAATGATGTTTAGAAGGAGGATTTAAGTAACATTTAACGTTGGCTTAAGAGTTTAATTAAGGTTATAATTCATTCACACCTATGAAATTTCACGTGAATTCAGTAAAACTTTTAGAGTTTTTATAGTAGTAGCAAACTTGTACACTTATTACTTGGTCCGCTTGATTACTGCATAACATAATAAATAGACAAAAATTTTTTAAATTTTCAAAGAAAATTCTCAAGAAAGTGGACATAAATACTGTCACGTTATCTTGCTTCCATAAAATACAATAGTTAATTATATGAATTCCGTGGTATTTAACATTAATATCGTTAGGTCTTTATTTTGAAATTTCAATCATTTTTTATGGAATGCAATTTTTTATTAACATCTTTTGATGATGTATAATAATAATGATAATAATAATAATAATAATAATAATAATAATAATAATAATAATAATAATACCAACAAATAACATTAACTATAAAATGCAAGCAGCATTTATAGAAATAATTCTCTGTAAACTGAAAAGAATAAATGTATTACGATCATTTCATTTGTGATCATAAAACGTTTTCGATCATCAGTCTTCGACTTTAAGCCTTCCAGTATTTTTAGTTTCTGGAAGTGGGTGGTCCTTTTAATATGCAATAGTTACAAATTCGAAAATTAAAGGATTGGGAAACCCTGAAGAAAATTAGATATAAAAGAAGAAAAGAAGGTGAAAAAATAGAAAAGTTCTCAGACTTCTTTTTATTTCCTAACTTATTTATCCGAAAGAGATATTATCAGGATGTTCCTTTGCATAAAATACAACTTTTTCTTTTTTTTAAATCAAAATGTTCTTCCAATAAAAAGAACTTCCATAACTTCCTACTTAATCAAAATTTATAGAGAATAATAGAAATTCTGGCAGATTATGCACTGCATGTTCTACCAGAAGGGCTTTTTAATTCACAAAGAAATGTCCCAATTAAGCAATTCACGTCTCTTAAGGCTGGTTGAGAAAATTTTCTGCAATTTCTTTGGTAATGCGGAAGTGAAAATAATAGAATTATGATGTAGGCATCATAATTCTATTATTGAGAGAATTTAGACAAATGTTGAGAGAGAATTTAGACAAAGATAAGCAGTTGATATAAGTGATAGTGTTACTTTTTTTTTTATCATAGCAACTTATTTAAATGTGTCCGAATATCATCTTTTGATAGATACTACCACATACTTTTTTTTCTTCATGACAAAGTTCCCGTTTCAAAAAAAGTTAGATCTATCAAAATATCGGAGTGAAGGTCTTTTACATACTATCATCAGCAATTGACTGAAATTTATTACCTTCTTCCAGTAAGTGTTGAAGTTTTGATAGAATTTAAAAAAAACTATTCACTATGATATATATTACTGCGAAAATTTTTATTCATATTCATTGAGGCATATTTAAAATTTCTTTCATAAAATGTTGAAAACATTCCATCAAAAAGCTTTTTCTCTTTGGTAAAAAATCTTCAAACCGACCGGAAAATGATTAGAAAATTTTCGAATTCTTGGTAGTAAGCAAAATATGTCTATATCACCGCTTAAATTAGCATTTTTTAGCCTTGACCTGATGCTCATGCTCTCTAAGAAGAAAATCAAAAAACGCATCAAGTCAGAGATTAATATCGAACAACGGAAAACAGCATTCTGCTGCACTGAATTTAATTTCTGTTCTGAGATAATTTCTTGTTTGATCGTGGAAAGTTGAAACAGTAAGGGTAAGTGACTTGGTTACTTTCGTTTTACCGATGCGTATTCTGACATTCATTTCAGTGCAGTGTTGGTTTGAAAAGGATGCTCTGCAATCGGTCAAAGTACTTTTCGACTAGGATCGAGAGATCAGAGGAGAAAGGAAGCACAATATAGTATGCTTGGCATTTCATAGTTTGCTCTTTCTGAACTGTAGTTAAGTATCAGTTTAAAAAAAAATGCCAGTAGTAACAGTATGTAGTAACAGACAGTATGTCACAAAAGTGGATGCAATATTTTAAATTGGATTATCGATTGATTCCTAATTTGAAAACACTTTCTGTAGAAGTGCTGTCGCTAATGTAAAACCTAAAACTACAATTACGATTAATTCGAAATAAAAGATGTTTCGAATGTTCAAACATTGCTTGAAGATCTGAGGACGAGTGATGGATGCATACAGTCACCATGCGATTTGCGCATGAAATTATATGAAAATATAGATGGGAAGTGAAGGGTGAGGAAAATGGATGAGTGACCTAGTTTCGGAGATTCGGTGACCACCAACAGCAACCATTTCTGGTCATCGGCCTAAAAATTTTAGATTGAGCGTCGAGCGAAAAAGAAAATGGTAGAAAGACATTGCCTGCTTTTCAATTTGCCCCTAGCTGATAAATTGTTCCAAAAGGGACAGAGAACGAACCTGAATAATTTCTGGATAAGTGGCATGTTTTAAATTTTATTAATTCATTCGATAATAAAAGCTCATTCCTAGTTGTTATTAATATAATATTAATAAAATATTAATAAAAACAAGCAAAGCACATGAGTTTTTTAAACCGATAGAAAGCTGAAAAATGATGAATTAAGTGAGAACTGGTCAATATTGATGATTAGCAAGTAACTTAAGTCATACGGAACAGGTTTTCCTTTCGTTCGGGCAACAAGTAGCATTTGGCCTTCAAATACATCTACCACACAACTACTATTATCAATCAGAGAAACTGACAAGCGATGATTTCTCCTCATCAAATACAGTCCTCGTTTTTACAAAAGTGACATGAAACAGACAGTAGAAGTGTAAAGAATTTCACTATTGATAGCCTTTGGGCAATTACACGCGAATCATACTCTATCAGTTGCTAAAGATTACTGTCATCAAATGATTACCCATATTTCTCTACAACAGTTATCCTGTTTCATCCGTAGAAAGAACAACGTTTTATTTATATTGCCAAAGTGTCACCTTAAGACACAATAATTTTTCAAATTAAGATACTCTATAAAGTGAGTCTTCTGCTGCAGAAACGTCTGAAACCTTCGAAATGTTCAAAGTCAACTATCCTCTCTTTACCTGCAAATAAGGTTATCAATGTTTTCGTCTTTCTTCTTTATTAAATATTTCTTGTTGACGCAGAAAACTTTACCACCACTTTTATATTAAGCGTTCTTAAAGCACTAAATTAAAAGAAAAAAGAGAACGATTTCTCTTCGAGTTATTAATAAGGTATAATGTGCATTTTAGTCAGTAAATCACTAAATTATTCACTAAATAGTTTATAAGACCTTTCTGCACTTATTTTCTTGCTTACTCTGACTTTCTCAGGCACTAAAAAGCAAGTTACTAGCAATTTTGAAAATCGGTGTGAAATTTCATTTGTACTTTGGTATTCTTCCTGATACCATTTCATATCTCCACTGCTTTAAATTGAACTGCGTGATGACTGAGATTCCCCCTTCCACTTATCTTCCATTCTTAACGGTCAACCATTTACGAACTGATATATTTCAATGCTCATTTCGATATGAAGAATCACTGATATCAGTGAATATCGACCAATGGGCAGTAAGTACTATCCCCAGTTGCTGATCCTAAACGATAGCTTGCAAAACTTCGACTCCCGCATTTTGCTAAGCAAAGAGAAGAGATCTGATGACATGCATTTGACCACTATTGCCATCCCCTTCTCCACTCTTCTTCCACTTATTCCTTAAATTTTCGTTTTATTTTCAGGTTGCTGTTATTATTATTGTTGCATTATTTACCAATTAGTAAGAAGGTGTAGTTTATAAGTCACACATCTCTCGAAGAATGCTATCTTCCCTTTCTTCTCGTTTCTATCTTTTTCTGCAAATGACTGACTCATTATAAGTGAATGAATGTGTGATTGTACTGCAACGCAACGCAACGCACGCTTTACTTGCATTACTGCCATAGCACTATTTACATTATTTTTAGCATATATTTTGCACACGATAGCATTATTGGAGCACCATCTTCCATTCCAACAGCAGGAATCGAAACCGCCGCTGCAAACAACCTCATCATGTTATGTAGCAGACTGCAGGAGTAGAAGTGATCTTTGAACTAAGAGTAGTAGAGTTACCGATCTAATGTCGCCTGTCTCTACTCATCATTCGCCCTCGCTGTTTCTTCACGTTCTCTAACTCATTTATCCTGCAACTCTGCAAAAATTTTCATTTTCTACGCACACCACCCTCAGTGCTCTTTTTTTTGTATCGAAAAAAGTGGTAAATAGCCGTTGTACTGTAGGGCGACCTATGCCACCTTTGTTAACCTCTGACCCGGCAGACTCAACTGTCGTTCCATCCTGAATAAGAATGACATTGACTAGCAAACTTCAGCATTCAATTTGCTCAAATTTGTATTGCCCGACTAATATGGATACGTTCAGATTTGATTTGAGATTTGAGAGTTGGAGAATCTCTCGAGAACTGCTTTGTTCGTATTTTGTGGCTGGCCGATTAAGAGCGCTCATTGAATACTTCGTTATCTTCGAAGTTAGCAGGCGCAATTTTCCTCTTTGTGTTTCGTCGTAGCTGTAGTATGGGACCAAGAACACCAATCAAGGTGACTCTTGTCGGCTCAGGCAATTGGTTCGTTCATTTTCTCGTATTTTATTGGCAAAGGAATAAATTGACGGGGATTTTTGGAAAAAGATTCCGGTTCAACACAAAATTTGAAATTATAATAATTTGGTTGCTGTTTCAGTGTTTTAGGATTACTGAGCAAATATTGGAAAACAGTTTGAACTAATTTTGATTTTTCTTTGGTTAGGGGTTCAGCAATTTCGCTGATCGTTGGGAAAAATGTGCAGAAGTACAAAGATATGTTTGATCATCAAGTACGCATGTGGGTTTATGAAGAGATAATCAATGGGATGAAACTTACGGAAGTAATTAACACGCAACATGAAAATATCAAATATCTGCCAGGCAAAAAGCTGCCACCAAACGTGGTTCGTTATTTCGATTCTTGCATTTTTCTCTTTATTCAATGGTATCCTTCTCCTACATGCGAAGAGAGCATATGACCCATGACCTATAACAAAACAATATTATATAATATTATTAATAGTTTCTGCTAAGTTTTCTTTTCGCTGTGAAATGTGGTAATGCATTGATTTATAATTTGTCTATTTTCCAGCATAGTTCGATTCGTAAAACTTTGCCAATTGCATGTCTTTCATTTCAGATTTACCAAATATTATAAAAAAAATTTCATTTGGAATCGCTCTTTCATCAAATTTCTGCTGAAATTCATATGATATAAAAAAAGCAATTAATCAAACTAATTGTAGGTAGCTATACCGGACTTGCTGACAGCTTGCAAAGGCAGTGACATACTCATATTTGTAATCCCTCATCAGTTTGTGGAAAATGTTTGCATACAGTTGAAGGGTCACCTAAAAGAAGGCGCGCTTGTAGTTTCACTCATAAAGGTTCTATTCATCATTTGTAGACTTTGGTAAAGTTTTGTCAAATTGTTTGAATTTGCCGCTTAGTCAGAGATGTTAAAGATGATAATAGGAGCCGGCTGTTTTGGTTCAGAAATCCATTTCAATGCTTTCAGCTTGAGATTAAAATTTGTCATGTAAAATAACACGATTAAAATTAGCATTAGGTCTTTTAGGGCTTCATGATTCAGAAAAAGAAAGGTGGGATTCGTTTGGTTACTGAAGAGATTCGCGATTTGCTGGATGTTGATACAGCTGTTCTGATGGGTGCGAATTTGGCCACTGAAGTGGCAAATGAAGATTTTTGCGAGGCTACTATTGGTAGGTGCAGATTTGAGATAGCTGAAAGTATTGCTCGATGTTTTGTTTTTATAAATTTGCGAGATCAGATAAACCACGCTGTGGTATGTTTATATCCATATTCCTCTAGTTATCTTACACAAGGTGCACATGTCAACTGCTTTCTATTTTGAGATTATTTAACATGTTTAATAATTATTGTTCTCTTTGTTAAATCAGTAGTTGTAGGTTGTAAAGATCAGAAAGACAGATGGTCTATACTGCAGAAATTGTTTGATAGTGACAATTTCAAGATTGCTCTAACGGAAGATGCAAATACTGTCGAATTATGTGGTGGTCTCAAAGTTAGCAATTCTTGTTTTGCTTATAAAATGCATTCTAGTATGGAATTTGGAACTCTACTGTAGCATACTTTTCGGTTTGTTGCAGAATATTGTGGCATGTGCCGCAGGCTTTGCTGATGGCCTTGGTTATGGAAGTAATACAAAATCAGCTATTATCCGACTGGGTCTTATGGAAATTACCATCGTAATATTTTTATGAAGCTTAATCATTTCGTTTTCTCAGTTAATAGACTAAGTTAACGATTATGATGCGAGTGCACTTGATTGTCATGATCGCACAATAACCTTTGTGCATTTCAGTTTGTCGAACTGTTTTATCATGGCTCGAACATCCGGACATTTTTTGAAAGTTGTGGTGTAGCTGATCTTATAGCAACGTGTAGTGCTGGCAGAAACCGTAAAATATGCGAAGCATTCGTTAAAACGGGGAAAGTGAGTGAATTGAAAGTCAGATCCATTCGAATCATTTGTACTTAACTATTTGTTCCCTAATCTATTCGTTCCTCTGTAGTGTATTTGACAAAGAATGATCTCCTTTTTGGATGCCAAATCACATTTAGTTCCAAAAGTACGTTAAGCTTTATATTTCAAGGCATTAAAGGAAAAATGTATATATGATGAGGGCAGAGCGTCAAGACATTCAATAAACAGAATATCATCAAATATAGAATCTTCAAATTTGAATTGTTTTAGTTCATTGTCAGAATTTCTGTTTTTACTCTCTGATTTTCTCATCAGTTCTATGAATGAGAACAGGTAAGTTATGATTTTAGAGTAGAGGTTTGTTGAAGGCACTGAAGTTCAGTTTCGTTTTTATACTTGCTTTTTTAGTCAATTAAAGAATTGGAACAGGAGATGCTGAATGGACAAAGTGCTCAAGGTCCTTTGACAGCTGAAGAAGTTTATCTTATGTTGAAGAAGCACAACATGGTTTCAAGGTAACAATTCTTGAGTTAGTTTAATATTGATGCAACCTTATTCACAGAGAAACTTACAGAAGAGTTTTTTGAGAATTCTACTAATCTTGCTGTCAAGAAATTAATTCTAGAATGAGTCAGATAGTTAACTCTTAAGAACATGAAACTTGTGGTAATCCTCATCGTAGTTAATATTCGAAATGTTTATATCTATATAATTCTTTTCAGATTTCCATTGTTCTCAGCTGTGCACCAGATATGCCAAGGACATATTTCTCCAGATCATCTGGTAGCTCACCTTCGTGAATCCCAAAACTCGAATTGAGAAACCATCGGATTTTTAAAACATTTGTTTGTTGTCATAGTGGTTTGAGAAAAAACTAATCTCAGCGAATTCAGCTTTTCCATCCTCAGTTTTTATTTTCGATGCTTGTAATCTCATAGGAGCTCTACATTTCATTGATACGGTTCCTATCACTTATACCTACGTATTTGTACAGTCTCCAGAAATTATTTTAATAGTCTTATTACATTCTTTTAAATATTTCTTTCCTTTGATATTATAAAGTTATCCATTTTCATTGATGTTTCAAAACAAAAAAGTGTTTTCCGAATCTCCCCTTTTTTCAAGAGCTGTGTTTTTCATATCTTTCTTGAGTAAACCTAAGCACTAGCTTAATTCTTTTTTTTTATCTCGTTGTGGTTATGTCTCATAATTTCGAAGAAAAAATAGAAATAAAAGAAAAATGCTATAGCTTCTCTTGAAGCTTTATAGCTCCCACCTATCTAACAGTTTTTTGTTCTATGTAAATCGAAGCCAGTGCTAATTTTCATGCATGTAATAGAACCTTGGAGAGACAAGAGGTTTTATCTGGCATTTTTTTTTTTTTTTCAACCGTTTACTACGCTCCTTTTTCGACAGTTTTGAGGGAATTGAATGCTTTATTAATTGAAATGTACTATCGATATTGATTTATACTACCGATTTAAATTTTGATGAAAAGTTTTCATTTTTTGTTTAATCTAGCTTGTTTTTGTTTTTTGAAATAAAAGCCGACTACAAGAAAGTTGATACGGTTGCTTTGCAAACATCCAAACAGTTTTGGGACTAATTACGCTAATCTTCAGTGAATCGGATTTTGCATATCTTATTAGATAATAGAAGCTATAGGTTATTTCTTTGACTTTTATTTACCATGAATGATTATGTATATAAAATTGTTTCCCAGCTAAAATTTTGGATGCTTTTTGAACTTAGTGTTTGATTGAATACAACGATTGTTTCGCCATGTCATTTTAAATCTCATGACAATTTTCAAATGTCACCGTGACCTACTGCAATAAATTCAAAACCATAACTTGTTGGAAAGGAGTGACAATATGTAGGGATGTTGCTGATAGGTAATGGAAGCTCGAACGTATTATGTAGTGAAATATTTCTTATTTTTCAAAACTGATTTGTAAATGTGATTCATTCTTATTAAGTACTGTATTAAAAAATTTAACATCAACTGAAGAGATTAGCAGTAGCAGTACTACTTCAAATTCTGTGATATTGCATTTGTTAAGAAAAATAATGGAAATACAGAAAAGTTTACCTTACTCTATTTGGATGTACGAAAAGTAGTAGAGAAATTGTCTTAACTACTGCAATGTTGATGATATCGCTAAGATGCTGAAGCAACATTTGAAGTGAGCTAAATTATAAGCAGCACTTAGAAGTAAGATAAATCAAAATGACTTAAGGAAGGTGGGTCGGAGTTGACAAACTAAAACGTATTGCGATGTGTTAAATTTTTAATTTCAAATCTAATACTGAAGATTGATAAAAGGATAGTAGCATTAGTAAAAGTTGTGTTGTATACATAAAATAATTTTTATTGTACTTTTAGAAAGGGAGTGGCGAGTGGAAGATACTGAATGTTGGGAAAGTTATATGCACGTGCAATTGCAATCTGCGTGAGCAAGATTGGATGGTTATTTGTTAAACGAGGGGAGAAGCAAGATCTAAATTTGTGATAACCACTAAATTCGAATTTGCATCAATTGTTACGACTAAAAGTTTTCATTCAATTGAGTTGACAAATTATGATGAATTCATGCTCGAGTTGCAATCTTCTCGGCCTATTTACAATTAAGTTCATCTCATTTACTTATCCTTTATATAAATGTCTAACTTTTTCTTATTTCAACACTCACCATGACTTTCGTCAACTACCTTGCCTTGATTTTACTATCCAGAACCGCTCATTGACATCTGACAGTCGTACTGCTTTTTACTACCTTTCATCACCAATTCAGTAGTGATGGGCAATTTTAACAACACTTAATTTCTGTATAACAATTTGAAAAAACTTAATTCGGCCTTTCTTTTTATTCAACCATAATCTATCTGCTAATAACGTCAGTGCTAGCTGGTTACAGCATGCTTTAGTACACAAATAGACCATGCTGTGTTTTCAGTACTTGAATGTTTCGAGAAATTATAAAAGATACTCCACCTTAACTTCATACTTTTGCATAATATTTATAGTTTACTACGCCGGAAAGCAACGCTATTTGTAAATGAAAAAGTTTTTTCTACCAGAATTTCTGTTGGTGATAAGAGTAAGTTGTGTATGTACAAATGAGCTCGTAGTTTTAAATTGTAGTATTTTGTCTTTTTTTTCAATGGCCACGGAGAAATAGAATAAATTAAGTGGAGAACAGATGAACCGGTTCATTGATATGTTCGTTTGCGAAGACTAACAATTGCCTGCTCACACAATGAAGCGAAATTTTTGTGGAAAAGTCAAAATGATGGCAAGACATAACTGAGCTACGCTCACATGTCGTATGCCTAACGACTAATGATTTATGATTTTTGCTATGCCAGATAGGTATATTAATTACTAATTTTGGCTCCTATTCATCTTTCATCTATTTCTTTCTCCATAGTCTCTCCCATTTCCTCTACTACAACTACTTGTAAAGCTATTGCTACTACTAAAAAATGTCATTGAACGCAGTAAATTACTCCTTCTTAAAATTTTCAATTCTTGAATTTCTTCTAAACGATGAGTTAAATTATTAACAAAGCTGTATTGATACTATTTAATGTCGTCCTTTCATCAAATCCTGGATATGATATCGTAATATGTAACTTGCAACTTTTGAATAGTTATAAGTATGGTTGAGATGTGTTTTAAAGTGAAGCTTATTACTTTGTTAAGTCTACCTCCAGCAAATTCTTCTTATCCTTCCGAGAAATAGATATAAATTTAGCTGCGTTCGAAACGTAACGTTATTTTAGTAAATTCAAACTCATGGGAATAGAAAAATGAATGTAAACATGATTTTATGGAATGATTTCTTTTTAGTCGTAATCTACTAAACTTGCTGGTATTAAAATTACTGCACTTATTGTTTTATGTCCAATAAACGAATGCTAGTAGAAGATTGATATTTCATGTATCACTAAATCGAGAATAATATATAATTCCAAAGAATGTATTGACAAAATTCAGTTGTTCAACTATTCATTCTCCCTTATGTTACAATATCAGCATTATCTATTGTAGCCATATGAAAACATATGCTGCAAATGATAGTCTGAACAAAAAACAAAACGTCCACTAGCATAAATGAAGTGCACAAATTTAGACTCCCGACCGAATTCTAGAAACCTGTGAAGAGATCAATTTTGAATATCAATAAATTTCATTTTTGTTAAACTATCACCCTGATACGAAAAGGTGGACACACAGCTATCATGCACTACATCTCAACTCAAATCCTTCAATATTAATCTTTTGAAAAACTTTTCAACCATTAAAGAACAACTGGTAGGAAGAGGTGACTTCTCATTATGAATTCCATTCTAGATGTTTCGGGAATTTATTTGAGAATCCAAGCAGGAAATCTTGATGAAAGGAGTACAAAAAGAGTTTTGTGATCTGATTAAGGAGGTTCTATAGAGTACTTCAATTCGAATTTGGTAGTTCTGTGTGACCTGATTGTATTGCTAAGAAATCGCTTCAGTGTAGTAGTGAATATGTGTCATTTTCTGTAGAGAGATGTCATTCCATTAACTACTTCTAAACAATATCATAGTTTGAAACTTTTTAAATAAAACTGAAGCGGATTAATGAAAGGCAGCCAAGTTGTTGCAGCATAACTATTAGCATTAGTACTACTAATGACTGTACTTATAATTATGAAGATATCTAGCTTTATGGCTGTCAAGGTAATATATTTCCTGATATAAAAAATATTCTTTTTAAATTCAAAACATAATTGCTTATGAACAGATATCAGATCCTTGGAAACGCAACATCAAAGCGACATACGATTTTAAAAATTTTTGATTTTTGGGAGACCCGAACTGCTTCTGACGAAATTTGCGATGCTCTAAGAAAAGTATGGCTGGACCTCTTAGAACATGGAAGGTATCAACGAACTTCCAAGCCACCGTTCCGCGATTTTCTTGACAATTAGTTGTATCTATGAAGTATTTACTCTCAAAATTATTCAAATAATAATTTGGCTGTTTAAAAATAGGGAATGTTGTAGAAATTACTAAAATTAGCATACGTTATTTTTCAGATTCAACCGCTTACAAATGGCTAATATTTCTCATATAATGGAGGTAGGGGCAAAATCTATCGTAAAATTCCATGTATTGGTAAAATAATAATAACAGTTAATAATTAATAATAATAATAAATATGCAAATTTTAATTAATTAGCTAAATAAATAAATAAATGGTGTAATAAATGCCCTTAGACTAAGTAAGGAAAAAGGATGGCGATTGGTTAATAATGATAGCTTGCATGGTTAGGTGAATAATTTGTTTCAGTAGCGTTTAGCACTAGTGGTCGTCATTTGGTCATGACGGAGAAGGAAAAGTTGTTGATTGTCTAGACAGTTTTGTTGATGAGAGGAGAGGGGGAAGGGTCGAATGCATGGAGGGTTTTTAGGAGGTTCAGATGTGGTTGAGGATGGGAATTGTAGTTGGAAATTTCTTCAGTAAGGGGTACAAAGGGGTAGGGTTGCAGAAGAGAGAGATAGTGCGCGAATGGTATTGTGAAGGAAGAGTTTTGTATAATTCAATGTACAAACAAAGGTCACCGACAAGCACAGACAGCATCACAGTCATCATCCCACCACTAGCACCTCTGATACCAGTGACAGTACCGCGGATACATCGTATTGTTGATGTGTATACCCTTTTAACCATACTGCTATGCTCATGGTGCTACTGCGAATATTCCAGCTCTGTTGACCTAACGATCGGAAATGTCCTTTTTCATTTTTGAAGATCCTATCTATCATCCATGCTGGTT